CCCGCCGGCGGCCGGGGCGGCGAAATGACGGGCGCGTCGGTAGCCGCCGCCTCTATGCCCGCGCTGATAAACGAAGCTCAATGTGTATCTTACGAGATGATATTTCCCGTGCACGACTGGAGAGTCTGGGCAGCCCATCTCTCGTCCTGAGAGCGGCTCGGGAGTGTCACCCATGCCGCGGGACCGCACGAAGTCGACGCTGCAGAAGGTGAGCCGCGACGACTGGAACTCGCGCCAGAGCGAGGGCTTCACGCGCTGGGTCAACGCGCGGCTCGAGGAGGAGGTCGTCGTGGACCTGGCCGAGGACCTCAAGTCCGGCGTCGTGCTCTGGCGCCTCGTCGAGAAAGTAGGCGGCGCCTTCGGCGGCGGCCCCAAGGCCGTGAGTGCCGAGGGCCTCGGAGAGCGCGACGGGCCGAGGGCGGCCATCGCGCGCATCCGCGCGCTCGCGAATTTGGAGGCGGCGATCAAGCGCATGCACGCCATCGGCATCCAGCTCCGGGGCGTCGGCGGCGAGGACATTTACAACGGTAACGTCGACCTGATCCTCGCGATGCTCTTCGCGGTCATCCTCCACGCGACGAAGACGGACTTCAAGCTCGAGGACGACGACGAGGCGGAAGCGCCGCCGCCGCCGAAGCAGGTGGGCTTCGCGGACGCGCCGCCGGAGCCGCCGGCGCGCAAGTCCGTGCGCTTCAGCGTCGCGCGGCCCGCGGGCGCGCGGCCCGGCCTCGCGCGGGCGACGTCGTGCGTCGACGACGCGCGTCGGTCCGTGCGCAAGTCCATGCGCCGGCCGAAGCAGATCCTGCTCGACTGGGCGCGGGCCTACGCCGCGGCCGGCGGCCTCGACGTCGACGCGGCGCCCGCGTCGCTCGTCGGGCTCTTCCGGGACGGGTCGGCGTTCGCGGCCGTCGCGAGAGCCGCGGGCGCGGGCGACGTCGGCGGCGACGGCGCGGCGGCCACCTGCGAGGCGGCCTTCGAGGCGCTCCACGCGGCCTTCGACGTGCCCAAGCTCGTCACGGCCCAGGACGTCGCCATCGAGCCCCTGCTCCTCGCGTACCTCTCGGAGCTCCACCGCCGCCTGCCGCCGCTGCCGGAGAAGGCGGCGACGCGCGCGTCCGCGGCCGCGCTCGCGGCCCTGAGCGCCGACGACGACGACGACGAGGACGACGACGACGACGGCGCGCGGCCGTCGTCGTTGGCGGAGGCGCACTTCGACGCGACCTGGGACGACGACAGCGAGGCTTCCGACGACGACGACGACTTCGAGACGCAGCTCTTCGTCCAGATCTTCGCCGCGCGGGGCCTGAGCGGCCACGGCGGCGGATGCCCGAACCCCTACGTCGTTCTGCAGTACGGCGACCGCGAGATCGTCACGGCGCCGGTGCTCAAATCCCGCGAGCCCAAGTTCCTCTGCCAGGCGTGCTTCCCCGTGCGGCACGACGTCGGCCACCTGTCGGCCTTCGTGTTCAGCGCCAACGCCGTGTCCGCCGACGACCTCCTCGGCAAGGTCGTCGTGGACCTGAGCGAGCCCGTGCGGCGGCCGGGCGTGCTCAAGCCCCGGAGCTGGCGGCGCGTCGTCGCGTGTCGCTACGACGACCAGGACGCGCTCCTCGCGCGCCACTTCTCCGCGGCGCGCGAGGTCCAGAAGTCGCTCGCCGTCTTCCAGGACCTCCATCGCCTGTTCCGCAAGACGCTCGGCGATCTGGAGTTCGCGGTCCACGCGCTCAACACGCCGCCGACCTCGGACGTCATGGACGACTACGAGCAGTCGACCGCGGCCCAGTCGGCCTGGGAGTGGAAGGTCCAGGGCTTCGCGTAACCGCGTGTTAGTACGCCGCGGCGCGCGCGCGGTGCTTCTCGACGCGGTCCAACAAGAGGCCGAAGTCGACGTGGTCCGAGTAGTGGTCGACGACCGCGCGCGCGCGGACCTCGTCCTGGACGCTGAGCTTCGCCGTGAAGCGGTCGATGAGGGACACGGTGCGGTCCGAGGCCTCGCGCGAGAGGAAGATCGGGTAGGACGCGGCGCTGAGCACGAACTCCGCGATCTCCGGGTCCATGCCGTCCGGGTACCGCTCGTGGGGCCTCCCCGTGAGCACGAGGCCGCCCGCCTGGGCAGCAAAAGAGTGATTCAACGTCGCTTCAACGTGAGTGTTCCGCGCGCGCGCGTTCCGGAAAAGCATCTACGCTTCGAGGCCGTTCCGAGAGATGATCGCTCGTCCAAAAATCAGCCGAAACGAGTGGAAAACGGCCGAGATATGAGCCTTTGAAGTTGGGAATTTCGCTCTCTTTTGCTGCCCGGCCGCCCGCGTAGGGCTCGCCCGACTCGCGCTCGCGCGCCGCGGCGCCCGACGCCAGCGCCAGGATCAGATCCGCGCGCGACTGGTGGATGACCCAGAGCGTCGCCGGGTGCGACCGCTTGAACTTGCGCAGGAAGTGCGCCGTGGACCCGCAGGCCAGCCGCACGGCCTCGAAGTGCCGCGTCCGCACGTCGCCCGCCGCGGGCGCGACGACGTCCGTCTCGAAGAGGCGCAGGTAGTCGGCCACGGTCGGGCTCGAGAAGAACGCGCGGTCGGGGACGACGCCCAGCAGCGGCACGCCCCGGCGGTCCAGGAGCGCGCCGAGGTAGGTCCGCACCGTGTCGATCTTGTCCGGCGCGACCTTGTTGACCAGGACGCCGGCGAGCGCGCCGCCCGTGCGGTCGATGAGGGCGTGGTTCAGCGCGAACTCGTCGAAGGCCGAGCCGACGCCGCCGTTGACGACGAGGAGCATGGGCAGGTCCAGCGCGGTCGCGAGCGTCGCGTTGTTGAGGCCGAGGATGGACCCGACGGCCGTGTGGCCCGTGCCCTCGGCGACGACGAACTCCGAGTCGTCGGCGATGCGGCCGTGGGCCGCGCGGATGCGCGCGAGCTCCTCGCCGCGGCGCCGCGCGCGGCCCGCGTCGTCGAGGTCCACGAAGGCCTTCGTGTAGCCGCGCGGCACGACGAGCGGCGACATGTCCGTGGGCGTGCCCCGGCAGCCCAGCAGGTCGCTGAAGAGCGGGCAGTCCTTGTCGATGAGCACCCGGGAGCCGTCGTCGTTGACGTGCTCGACGTGGGACTGGCCCATGGGCTTGATGAAGCCCACGCCTTTCCCAGTGAAGATGCGCTGCAGGCCGGCGACGAGGCCCAGGGAGCTGCTCGTCTTGCCCACGTGCTGCCGCGTCGCCGCGACGTAGACGCCGCCGAACGACATGGCCGATGGCGAGGAGGCCTCTTTGTGTCGGCCTCGCGTGCGGCGTCCACGTCAAAGTTCAAGGAGAGGTTCAAGCGCGCGCTATTGAAACGGCTTTCTAGCGCAAAAGATGGGCCTCGTCTCCACAACCATCCTGCTCGTCGCCGGCGGTGCCTTCCTCGGCGTGCTGCTGACGCCGCTGCACTGGAACGCCCTCGGCGACGGCGCCTTCGGCGGCGTCGGCGACATGACGTCGGCCTTCTACGCCAAGCGCGTCGCCGAGGCCATGGTCTACGAGCTCGAGGGCATGCGCCGCGAGCCGCGGGCGAACTGGACCGTCATCGCCAACTTCTCGCGTTTGAGCGTCGAGGCGCGGCGCGTCGCGGGGAGCGACTCGGAGGCCATGGCGTCGAGCCGGGTCGTCGCGACGCGCGCGCGGGGCACCCTCCGGCGCGCGGACGCGGCGGCCGTGCTCGAGTTCCTCGCGTCCGAGGCGGGCATCCGCCTCGCGCTGGACAGCGACTGGTTCAGCGAGTCGGCCGGCGCCGACACGGTCGAGGATTTCGGCGAGTGGACGAGCCGCGCGAGCCGCCTGAAAGTCGTCGACGCGTACACGCGATTCCCCGAGCCCCTCGCGGACCGCGAGGTCGTCGCGCTCGTGGGCCACGACCCGGAGGCGGGCCGCTTAGTCGTGAAATCCGTCAAGCACAAGATGCGCCGGCCGTCGAAGAAGCGGCCGCGCGCGCTGTTCACGTTCCACGCGAAGGTCGCGCAGGACGGCGACGACGCGGCCGTCGACGTCGTCCGCCGCGTCGACTACGGCGGCCGCCTGCCCGACGCCGCCGCCAACTACGCCAACTGCCGCGTCGCGCTGCCGCGCATCTTCACGGCCCTGTCGGGGCGATTCGCGGATACGAGGGCGCCGACGCCGAAGAAGCGCGCGTTCACCCCCGAGGAGGACGCGGCGCGCGCGGCGCGCAACGCCGAGGTCGCGGCCCTCGAGGCCGAGGAGGCGAAGCGCGACCGCAAGCGGCGCTACGACGCCATCACGGACGCGAACCGGGGCACGCTCGAGGGCCGCGCGAAGCTCGCGGACGACTCGTACGAGGCCGCGGACGCGGCCCGGGGCGCGGCCGCGAAGCCCAGGCCCGCGGACCTGGCGGACCTCCAGGGCATGAACCGCGCGTCCCTCGAGGAGCGGCCCCGCGTCGACGACGGCGAGGACCTCGCCGCGGCCTACGGGCCCGTGGGAGGCGACCGCCGGCTCCGCCGCTGGGTCCGCGGCCGCCTCTAGGCGAGCGGGGTCTGACCTCGCCCGCCGGCGGACTAGGTCACGCGCGGCCGCTCCGGGCCGCGGAACCACCCTCGACTACAGTTTACTCCTCGGGGTCGTCGTCGTCGAGGTCCTCGTCGAGGTCGTCGTCGTCGTCGCCCGCGTCGGAGTCCTCGGAGATGGAGTTGCGCTTCGAGAGGAGCCCCTTGGGCTGGGAGCCGCGGCTCTTGCGGCCCGACGCGCGCTGGGAGCCGAGCGTGCCCCGCAGGCCGAGGCGGACGGTCATGCGCGCGGTGACGCGGCTCGACATCGTGCCCATGGTCCGCCGGCCCGAGCCGCCGGAGCCGCGCGCCGTCGACCCCCGGAGCGACATGGAGGACAGGTTCGGGTTCTTGGCGCGCATGGCCTGGGCGCGCTTGTGGAACTCCTGCTGGCTCGGCGGGTTGCGGAAGGCGACGAAGGCGAGGATCTTGATCTTGAAGCGCCGGAGCTTCACCGACAAGACGTTCCGGACGTCGCGCTGCTTCACCTGGCTCTCGACGGCCTTGCAGAACTCGGCGTTCTCGTGGCGCGCCGCGGAGAAGGCCGCCTTGCTCAGCATGAAGAGCTCGCAGAAGCTCAACGCCGTGATCGTCGCGGACCGGCGCGCGCCCGTGATGATCGCCGCCTCGCCAAAGTAGTCGCCCGTTTTGAGTTCCGCGACCTTGATGAGCTGCTTCGTCTGCTTCTCCCGGATGGTCACGGCGAGCTTCCCGCGCACGCAGAAGTACATCGTGTCGCCGTGCTCGTCCTCGGCCATGATGATCTGGTCGGGCACGGCGATGCGGTGCTCGAGGCGCTGCACGAGGTTGATGACCGCGTAGGGGTTCAGGGCCTTGAAGAGGGGGCAGCTCATGATGAACTTGCGCTTCACGGCGAGGGCGAGCTTGAGCTTTAAAGTTTCCGTCAGGTCGCCGAAGAGCGCGTCGTCGGTGACGGACGACGCGTTCCAGAGGTAGTCGTAGTACGCGTGGATCGACTCCCGCAGCGACTCCGGCACCTTGTTGTGGCGCAGGTACGTCGTCATGCGGCTCCGCTTCTCCCGGTGCTGGGCGGCGACGACGTCCGCGTTCGCCAGCAGCGACGTCACGGAGCCCGTGATCGTCGCCGTCATGAAGATGCCGACGAGCACGGCCGCGGTCGAGTAGTAGGTCTGCGCCGCGTTCTCGGGCTTCATGTAGTTGCCCAAGACGGCCATGGTCGCCCAGTAGTAGGACTGGGCCCACTTCCAGGCCACGTGGCGCGACCGGCCGTGGCGCGCGTAGTACGCCCAGTCGATGGGGTCGAAGCCTGTGTGCAAATCAAATCTTCAACCCGACTTCAATGTGCGCGTATGCGAATGTTTTGACACGAGCACTTCCGCCGTGCTTCGAGAACTCGCTAAGAGCAATCGATTCGTCCAAAAATCAGCCGAATCGACTTCGATTTGACCGAGCTAGAGAATTCTCAAGTTTGGTCGGGACCACCCAAACCAGTGGTTGAATTCCACACAGGTCGAAGCCCGGGTCGTCCTCGTCGTGCTGCTCGCCGTACTTGCGCCCGACGAAGTGGTAGCCGCAGGCGAGGTAGTGGAGCACGAGCACGAAGAAGGCCACGAGCTTGGCGATGCGGAAGACGATGGGGTCCATGCCCAGGCCCCGGATGATGAGCGGCGACTCCTGCGACTTCGACACGGCCGCGTCCCTGGACAGCTTGACGACGCGCAGGAGCTTCACGGTCTGGATCACCGTGAAGATGCGGTGGAGGCCGTCCATGCGCCGGGGCATGACGTGGCTCAGCGCGAACTGGACGGTCCAGACGGGCGCGAGCGCGGTCACGTTGAAGAAGCGAAAGTAGCGGCCGCGCCGGTCCGTCTCCTCCTCGTCGTCGTCGTCGTCGCCGCCGCGGGTGCGCCGGTCCCGCTCCTGGGCGTAGTAGTCCCGCGCGCAGGAGAGCTCCACGAGCACGTTGAAGACGCCGACGACCCAGGGCAGCACCGTCGGCATGCGGAACGTCAAGAACACGGGCACCATGAAGACGACGTACAAATTCGCGATCTCGCGCAGGCCGTGCTCCAGCGCCGGCAGGAGGTGCTGCAGCAGTTCCGTGGGCGACCCGTCGAGCATGAACTCGTGGTAGGCGTCGTGGGACACGCCGTGCGCGCCGGAGCCGCCGCCGTCCTCGGACTTGTCCGACGGGCTCTCGGGCTCCTCCGGCGGCTCGGGCTCGACCTTGGGCGACGCGACCTTCATGACGCCCTTGGACATCATGCGCTTCAGCGGGCCGCCGCCGCCGTCGCCGTCGCCGTGCTGGAGGCGCCGCGCCTCGGAGAGCCGCGCGACGCGCCCCGGCGTCTGCGCGGACTCGTTGACGGCGTCGACGACGGCGACGGACACGTCCTCGCCGTTGGCGCCCGTGCCGAGCTTCTTCGCCAACGCCCCGCCGGCCGTGCGGTCCACGGCCGACGCCTCGGACGCCTCGGACTCCTTCTTCGACGGCTCCGGCGCGACGGCGATCGTCGACGGCCGCGAGGCCTTCTCCATGACGGACGCGCGGAGCCGCTCGGGCAGCTTGGGCGTCGAGCTCTTCTCCTCCTCCTCCTCGTGCTCCTCGCTCATGACGTCCAGATTCGCCGCGCGCGACGCGCGCCGCGGCTCCGTCGCCGCGGACGACGCCTGCGCGGACGAGATGCGCCGGCTGAAGGGCGAGCCGCCGGTCGCGGAGGCCCGGCCCTCGCCGGGCTTCGTCGAGAAGCGCCGCGCGGTGCCCGTCGCGGACTGCGCGGTCTTGGCCATGGACTTCTTCATCGACGTCGCCAATTTGGCCATGCGGAGCGTCCGCGAGACCGCGCGCGCGTGCTTGGCGAGCTTTTTTTCTTCCTTCTTGGGCTTCTCGGGCGAGACGTCGCGCTTCGGCGACGCGGCGGGCGCGAGGCGCGACGGCCGCGGCCGCGCGTTCGACGGCCGCGCGGCGGACGAGCTCCGGACGTAGCTGGCCCGCCCGACCTGCGACTTGCGCTCGATCTGTGACTTGCGCTTGTCGTCGTCGCGCTGCATCTCCTCGGCGTAGGACATGAGGGCGAGGCGCGCGGCCTCGGTCATGGGCGGCTTCTCGGGGGGCTTGTCGTCGGCGTCCGACGCGGGCGGCGAGTCGCGCGGCGCCGCGCGCGACTGGCGCCGCGCGGCGGCCGCGCGGCCGTCGACCATGTCGCTGAACTCGGTCTGCATGACCTCCTGGGCGACGACGTCGACGGACGCGTTGCTCGACTGGCGGCTGAACGTGGAAAACCGCCGCGACGACGCCGTCGAGAACTTGCGCGAGGCCATGGACGTCCGGCGGCCCGGCGGCGCCGCGGGCCGGTCGTCCTCGGAGACGGCGCTCCGGAAACTGCCGCCGCGGCCCCCGTAGGAGCTCGCGGCGCCGCCGCTGCCGCGGCGGCCGTACGCGCCGGACTGAAAGCTCGCGGGCGTGACGCCCGCCGGCACGTCCGCGAGCGTCTTGTAGGCGCCGACGGGCGTCGTCGCCTCGCCGCCGGACGCGCCGGACGCGCCGGAGTCGCGCGCCTCGCGCGCGGCGGCGATGGCGCCGCGCGCGCGGTCCTGGAGCAGGCTGAACAGCGCGTCCGTCTCGAGGAGCCGCTGCAGCGACGACGCCGCGACGAGGCGGTCGCCCGTGGGCCAGGTGCCGAGGTTCCCCTCGAGGGCCCGGCAGAGGTGCCGCAGCGTCACGTGGAGCGCCGACACGCTGTCCTGGAGGTCCGCGAGCGGGCTGCTCATCGCCTGCATCTCGCCGACCGCGTGCCAGCCGGGGCTCGTCGTCGTGGCGGACCGCCCGTCGCCGCTTCGCGGACCGTGGCGCACCCGATCCGCGCGCCCGGGGCAGCCGGTCCCGTGAGCGCCGCCGCCTAGAGGGCGCTTCTTCCAGCCGGGGCTCGCACCATTTTCGTTTCAGACCTGCGCCAACATTGCAACATTGACATAAATCCGCCGGGAGCTCGAGGTCAACTATTTGTGCAGCTCCGCTCGGTCGGCCCCTCGACGACGCCGCGCGCCTCGCGCCCCACTTCGCAAGCAGCATGGACCCCAGCTCGGTGAACATGGTCGACGCGCGGAACTTCGAGCCGACGGAGGTCGTCGTCCCGAACGCGAACGCGCCGCGCCGCGTCTCGCTGAATGCCGCGCGACCCTCGCCGCAATCGCCGCCTCGCCCATCGCATCGGTGGCCCCTCCGCCGCGTCGCGCGCATCGTGAAAGGCGCGCCCCTCGCGCGCGTCGCGCGCATCGCGCATCGCATCGGTGGACCCTCCGTCGCGTTTCGCGCGCATCGCGAACTGCGCGCCCCTCGCCGCGTCGCGCGTCGCGTCGGGGGCCTGGACGCGTCGCCTTTCGGACGCCGCGCGCTGCGCGCCCCTCGCCGCGTCGCGCGTCGCGTCGGGGCCCTGGACGCGGCGCTTTCGAACGCCGCGCGCTCCCCTCAGGTCGAGCCGGAGATGCCCATCGACCCGTTCCAGGAGGGCCACGCGGAGAAGCAGATCCACACGGACTTTTACCAGGGCTTCGACACGAAGGACCTGTCCGCCACGGACCTCAGCTGAAAAAGAGCGCTCGTTGTAATCATGTTGTGACCCCCAAAAAACTACGGGACGAGGAGCGCGGCGCGCACCTCGCCGAGGGCCGCGGCGTCGCAGGGGTGGGCCGCCTCGGCGGCGCTCGTCGCGAGGATGAAGATGGCCGTGTCGACGGGCACGCGCCGCGCCCTGGCGGTCCGCGCGTCGCGCCACGCGTGGTCCTCGCGGGGCACGCGGACCGCGCCGCGCTTGAAGCGGGAGCCGTCGACCGCGGCCCACGCGGCCTGGTCCGTCCAGACCGGCGCGACGAAGGCGAAGGCCAGCGCGTCCCGTCGCGCCTCCGCGGCGGCGAGGAGCGCGTCGCAGCGGCGCGCGGCCCGCAGCAGCGGCGCGGGCGCGAACGGCGGGTTGCACTCGAAGGCGCCGCGCCGCGGCGAGAAGTCGTAGAAGGAGCCCAGGGACCCGAAGGGCGCGTCGACGTCGGCGTGGGCCGAGCAGTAGCGCTCGTAGTAGGCGTTGAGCGGCGACGCGAAGCACTCGAAGTTCACGCCGAATCTGTCGCGGAGCGCGCGGAACGCGGCGCCCGGGAGTGCGGCCTGGAAGCCGCTGCCGCCGAGGGCGTCGTAGCGCATCGTCATCGCGAGGATGCACGCGTCGACGTCGGTAGGTTTCGTCCCCGCGCGGCGCGCGAGCTCCCGGAGTTTCGCGTCCACCTTTTCCGGGAGCTCCGCGGTCGCGTCGCCGCAGAAAAAGTGTCTGGCGCCGCCGTCCCGGCGCGCGACCGTCGTGGCCCGCGCGGTCGACGCCGTCGCGGCCGCGCGGCCCCACGCGGCGGCGACGGCCCTCGCGTGCTCGGCGACGATGGCGTCCGCTTCCGCCGCCGAGTGCTTCGACGCGACGAGGTCCGCCTTCAATTCATCGCCGCCGCCGCGAGGGAAGACGGGATCGCCCCCTTCGTCGCAGGCGAGGTGCCACCGCTCAAAGGCCATGGACGGGTACCTGTCGCCGCAGAGGCGGGAGAGGTTCTTCCGGACGCGAGCGACGCCGTCGCGCCGCGCGCGCTCCGCGGCGACGGACGGTGTTATGTGTTTCGGTGGCGGTTTGCTGATTCCGACGCTCGCCCAGAAGAAGTCCTCCTCGTGGTGTGTCTCGTCCCAGACGGGCTCGTCGGGCGGCGGCGCGAAGCGCTCCTCAAAATGGGCATCGGCGAGCTTTTTTTTTGCTTTCTTGGAGAGCGAGGCGTCGGCCGCCGTGAGCGGCGTTTTGTTGCCGCTGTCGGCGTCGTCTCGGGGGGCGGAGCGCTTCATTGGGCGGCTCGGTGTGCGCGCCTTGATGAGCCAGCTTTTTGGTCCGTGGCAATAAGGTCTTTCAGCGATGACCATCTATATGTACTGGGAGCAGCTTGAAATTCGCGGCGCGAAATGAGCGACAAGAAGGCTACGGGAGACGGCGAGATGAACGAGCCTGAGTGGATGGTGAAGAAGCGGGAGTATGAACAGCGGATGGCCCGGGTGAAGAACGCCAAGCTCCGCCTGACCTGCACCATCTGCGGCGAGAAGGCGAAACTCCCATGCCCCTGCGGCACGGCTCAATATTGTACGGTCGCCTGCCAGAAGGTCGACTGGCGCGAGCGGGGCCACAAGAAGGTCTGTAAGGAGATCCGGGCGCGCGCGGAGGCGCCGACGCCCCCGCCGTCGCCGCCGCGGGACGTGTTCTACGGCCCCGCGCCCCGGTCGCACGCCGACGAGATCCGCGCGCGCATCGCCGCGGAACACGAGGCCGCTCGTGCCCTGCGAGAGGCGAACCCGGAGCCTGAGCCGCTGTCGGCGCGTCTTGGATCGCGATGCCCGATCTGCATGGAAAACTGGGACGTGAATTTCTTGCCCGTCCTTCGCCCCTGCTGCTGCCGCACGGTCTGCCGATCGTGCGAAAACAAAATCTACCCCCAGGCGTGTCCTCTCTGTCGAACGCCTTGCGCCAGGACTGAAGCGGAACAGCTGGCTCGATTGCGTCGCCACGCGGAAAACGACGTGCCCGAAGCGATTGGAGCGTTGGGCAGTGCCTATGAAAATGCCACGATGGGTCTCAAGAAATCGACGAAGAAAGCCGCTAAGCTTTACCGTCGCGCTGTGGAGCTTGGAAACGTGCAGTCGATGACGAATCTCGGAGCCCTATACGCGCAAGGCGAGGGCGTTAAGCTGGACCGTCGGAAGGCGACGCAGCTCTATCGCATGGCTTCGGACGGGGGCTCTGCCATGGCGGCGCAGAACTTAGGAGCATTGATCGCGGACGGGCCACGGGACGCGCGAGATCACGTCGAGGCGTTCAAGTATTTCAAGCTCGCAGCGGACCGCGGCCTGCACATGAGCTTCAACTCGATGGGCGTCTGCTACGAATGCGGTGAGGGTGTCGAGCGTGATCTGGATGAGGCCAGGCGCTGGTACACTCGCGCGACCAACACGCAGTTCAAAGACGGCGCCATGCAGGGGCTCGCGCGCCTTGATAGGCTCGCGCGAAGCCCGGGGAGGCGCCACACTCGCGCGCCTTGATAGCCTTCTCCTTATCCTCCTCGTCATTATTTGGGGCGGAGCGCGTCATTGGGAGGCGTCTGATGGGTCAACTAGCTGCTACCTAGGTAAGCTGCAATCGAAGGGAGGGAGGCCCGGCCAGCGGGGCTGTGGCGACGATCGACCCACCGACTGCCTCGGACTGAGCGCATCGAGGACGCGCGCGGGAACACCATGAGCTCTGAAAACGCGCTAGCGGATGACACGGCAAATTGGCGCGACAAAGCTCTCGCCGACAAGAAGAAGGAGTACGAAGTGAAGAAGGCCCGGGCGAAAGCACTCAGGCTCCGCCTGACCTGTACGATATGCGGAGAGAAGGCCAAGCTCAACTGCCCCTGCGGGACGACACAGTGCGCGCCCGGCGCGTGCGACGCGCGCGAACGGGTCGGGGGCGGCTCGACGCGCCCGCCCGGGCGCGCCGTAACGCGCGACCCGGCAGGTACTGCTCGACGAACTGTCAACGCATCGACTGGCGCGACCGCGGCCACCGGAAGGCGTGCAAGAAGATCCGAGACGAGCGCGCGGCGGAGGCCGCGCGGGCGGAGGCCCCGACGCCCCCGCCGTCGCTCCCTGTCTACGGCCCTGCGCCCCGGTCGCACGCCGACGAGGTCCGCGCGCGCATCGCCGCGGAGCACGAGGCCGCTCGTCTGCGACGCGAGGCGAACCCGGAGCCGAAGCCGTGGTGCGCGCGTGCCGGGTCGCGGTGCCCGATATGCCTCGAGAATTGGGATGTGAATGAGCATAGTTCGCTTCGCCCCTGCTGTTGTCGGATGATCTGCGTGTCTTGCGAAGGCAAGCTTTCCATCGACGTACCGTGCCCTCTTTGTCGCGCGCCGTATCCGAAAACGGACGCGGCCCACCTAGCTCTGATTCGTCGTCACGTGGAGAACGACGTTCCCGAAGCCGTCGACTGTTTGGGAGACGCGTATCGGGCCGGGGACCTGGGTTTGGTGAAAAATGACAAAAAGGCATGCAAGATATTCAAACGGGGGGTTGAACTCGGTTACGTGGGCTCGATGCTGAATCTCGGTCAAATGTACAAACACGGACTCGGCGTCAAGCGCGACTTAAAGAAGGCGACGCAGCTGATGCGCATGGCCGCGGAGAGTGGTCTTGCGATGGCGCAGCAGAACCTTGGAGCGCTGTTGGCCATGCAGGCGATGCACGTCGAGGCTGTGCAATATTTTACGCGGGCGGCGGAGCAAGGACATATTTGCAGCTTCTTCTCGCTTGGTATCTGCCATGAGCTTGGCCAGGGCGTTCCGCGAGATCCAGCGTCCTGTGGCCGTGACGATTTTCGAGAGATTTTGACCGTGAAAACGAAGGGAAATCGTCACCGACACATCTGGTAGGCGAGATCTGATCAAGGCCATCAACTGGTACGAGCGAGCGGCCGACGGGGGATATGAGCAGGCCAGGGAGGCGCTCACTCGCTGCCAGCTCATGTATCATCTACCTGGAGAGCGCTAACTCCACAACCCCAGATGCAATAAACGAAGCACACAACCACCCATACTCACGCGCGAACTACCTAGTCCTCGTCGTCGTCGTCGTCGAGCTCCTCGTCGTCGTCGTCGTCGCCGACGGCCGCGGCGACCATCTGCATGACCGCGTCGGGGATGCCCTCCTCGCCGTTCTCCGCGGCGGCGGCGACCATCTGGAGGAGGGCCTGCTCGTGGTCGTCGTCGTCGTCCTCGCCGTCGCCGTCGAGGACGAGGTAGATGTTGTCGTCGTCGTCGTCGTCGTCGCCGTCGGAGTCGAGGTCGTCGTCGTCGTCGTCGTCGTCGTCGCCCGCGTCGCCGCCCGGGCCGATGGGGAAGTCGTCGAGGAGGTCGTCGTCGTCGAGGTCGTCGGCGTCGGGCGCGGCGTCGAGGGCCGGGAGCAGGTCGTGGCCGCCCAGGTTCACGAGCTCCTCGCGGCCCCGGGGCAGCTTCGCGAGCGCCGAGAGGACGCCGAAGACCGTCGTGTCGACGCCTGGGCAGCAAAAGGGTGATTCAACGTCGCTTCAACGTGAGTAATCCGCGCGCGCGCGTTCCGGAAAAAGCATCCACGCTTCGAGACCGTTCTGAGAGATGATCGCTCGTCCAAAAATCAGCCGAAACGAGCGGAAAACGGCCGAGATATGAGCCTTTGAAGTTGGGAATTTCGCTCTCTTTTGCTGCCCTGGTCGACGCGGTCCGCGCCGTAGAAGAAGCGGTCGTCGTCCAAGGGCCGGTGCGCCTGGGCGCGGCGCTCGACCTTCAGGAGCACGTCCACGAAGGCCAGGTTCGCGCGGTCGCCGAGGAGCGCCTCCGCGTCGCGCGGCGCGCCGGCCCGCGACGCGACGAACGCCGCGAGGCTGTCGACGGCGTGGAGCCAGGGCCCCGGGTGCGTCCGCGGCGGCGGGCCCAGGCCACCCAAATGCTCGACGGCGCGGCGCGCGAGCGCCGCGGGGCAGTCGACGAGCGCGGCCGCCTGGCGGGACGTCCGGTTCGCCCTTTGCTGCTGGAGCTGCTGCTGCTGCTGGGGCGTGAGCCCGTGCTCGCCGTCGAGCATGTGGTTCAGCAGCTCCTCGTCGTCGTCCTCCGCCGCCGCGGCGTCGCACTCCGCGAGGTAGAGCGACACCTGCTCGAGGCACGCCGACGCGTCCGCGACGGCCTGCAAGGCCTTGTCCGACGCGGCGTCGCCGTACGTCGCCGCGGGCAGCAGCACGTCGGCGTTCCGCAGGACGTCGGCGCAGACCCGGGGCGCGCCGACGTTGACGAGCTCGTCGGGGCAGGAGTCGGCGACGAGCGCCAACGCCGCGACGCGGTCGCGCGCCTCGGCCGTGCACCGCTTCGCCGCCGCCGCGTCGGCGACGGCCTCGCGCGCGGCGTCGACGACGTGGCGCGCGAAGCTGAGCTTGCGGCTCGCGGAGCGGTCGTCGTCCTGGGGCAGGTGCAGCCCGTGGGTCACGGCGAACTGGGCCGCGTGGCGCGCGCGGCGCCGGGCGTCGGGCCGCCCGTCCGTCGATTTGTGCCCAAAGTCGCACGCGAACGACACGAGCCGCTCCAGCGGGCAGGCCGACACCTGATCCACGTAGTCCGGGTCGCCCGTGGACGTGAGGTAGAGGAGCTGGGCGCCGAGCTCCCGCGACGCGTCGGACGTCGCGTAGTCGCGGCTGCCGGCGCGGAGGTGGTCGCCCGCGCGCGCCGCGCGGCCGACGGACGACGCGCGGCGCTTCGACTGGCCCGCCTCGAGCATCGGCAAGGGCGCCAGCACGGCGTCGGCGCAGGCCCGGGCGACGCCGAGCTGGCGGAGCTGGGCCACCAAAGCCTTGCACGACATGCGCTTCTTGGCCACCGATAACAGCTGCACGAGCGCCCACGCGCACGCCTCCTTCGGGCCCCAGCCCGCGCTCCGCGACGCGTCTAAATCGTCGGACTCCCCGAAGGCCACGGCGAACAGGCTCGCGTGGCCGCAGGCGCCGATGATCGCGTGCGCGTTCGACCAGCCGGACTCGGAGCGGACCTGGGCGGGGAAAGGGTGCGAAATTCCCAACTTCTATCTCGGCCGGTTTCCGCTCGTTTCCGCTGATTTTTGGACGAGCGATCATCCCTCGGAGCGCTCTCGAAGCGTGGATGCTTTTTCCGGAACGCGCGCGCGCGGAACACTCACGTTGAAGCGAAGTTGAATCACCCTTGTGCCGCCCCGGAGCGGACGCACGAGTAGCCGAGCGAGAAGGCCGCGCGCGCGCAGGACGCGCCGAGGCCCTCCCGCAGCGTCTGCGTGCACCCGGGGCAGAGCTGGCGCAGCAAGCCGCCGGAGGCCGCCATGGCCCGGTAGCTGCTGAGCTGCTCGACCATCGCCGCGATGTTCGCGTCGCTGAGCTTGGGCGCCTCGGCCGTCCGCGCCCAGTTCTCGAAGGACGTGTCGTCGCCGGAGCGCGCGATCATGGCGCGGATGCCCACGTGGCCGCTCAGCGTCTCGAAGGGCCAGCGCGCGCGCCGCGTCGCGCGCGACACGCCGGACAGGAGCTTGACGTCGTTCAGGGAGACGCAGGCCTCGAGCACGAGCTCGACGAGGCTCGGGTCGAGGAAGACGTGGCGGCTCGCCGTGCCGGCGACGCTCAGGCCGCGCTTCCGACGCGGGGTCGGGGTCAGCTTGTGGGCCTCGCACGTCGACATGCCGAACGAACACGGGCGTCGAGCTTATCGACGTTTGAGTGGGGCGGCCTTGCCCACGCCTTGGCGTCAACATCTACATCCACAAGTCGGTCCACCGTAAGCCGCTTCATTTCGAACTCGCCTCGCTGCCCATCACCGGCCGTAGCGTCCGTGCGCCGCCCGCGCCCGCTCCGACGCGCCGCGGCCTGGCCGTCCTCAGCGTTCCGCGCCGCCCGCAGGTGTCTCGAGCGCTCTTCGGCACCATGGGCTTGCTCGTGCGGCCCCCGCGTCTCTGGCGTCGACCATCCCTGGAAAATGCAGCGGGGCAGCCCCCGGGGGCCGGGGACGGGCCGGCGCGGCGCGCCCAGCCGGTTCCGGGCGGGCCCGGGGCGCGCGCGCCGGGGCGCCGCGCGCGGCCGGCGCGAGGCGTCCTCCCCCCGCGCGCAGACACTCCTGCGGAAGCTCAAGCGCACGGACAACGAGGCGCGCATCCTCGTGCTCGGCCTCGACAACAGCGGGAAGACGACGATCCTCAAGAAGCTGAGCGAGGAGGACATCTCCCACATCATGCCCACGCAGGGCTTCAACATCAAATCCCTCATGCAGGACGGCTTCAAACTCAACGTGTGGGACATCGGAGGCCAGAAGTCGATCCGCCCCTACTGGCGCAACTATTTCGACCAAACCGACGCGCTCGTCTACGTCATCGACTCGGCGGACTCGAGGCGCATGGAGGAGACGGCGACGGAGCTCGGCCAGCTCGCGCGTCCCGCCGCGTCCTTCGGTCGGGCGCGCGCGGCGGCCGCCGCTTCCGCGCGCGCCGCGCGCCGCGGTCCTCGGGGTCCGGTGCCGCGCGCGACGCCCGACCCCCCCTAGGTCGACGAGGCGAAGCTGTCGGAGATCCCCGTGCTCTGCTTCGCGAACAAGTGCGATCTGATGAACGCCATGGAGGAGGAGGAGATCGAGGAGAACGTGAACCCGGTGCTCAAGGGCCGCAACTTCAAGATCCAAAAGTGCTCCGCGAAGACGGGCGTCGGCCTCCAGGACGGCATGGAGTGGCTCGTCGACCAGCTCAACAACGGCGCCGACTGAGCGCGCCCAAAGGGCGGCGCGGGCGCGCTCCGCCGGGGATCCGGTGTTCCGGGACGCGCCGCGCCGCGCGTCCGCGCGCGGGCGCCCGGAGTCACCGCCCCGGCGGCGAGCGCCGCGGCGGCCCCGCGCCGCCCATCCAAGAAAAGCAAGGCGCCCTCGCCGGCGGCGCCGACGCGAACGACGAAACAATCAGCCGCGCGCGTCCCCATCCCGACGCGCGGGGCCACCCGACCTTCTAATTTCCCGAATCTACGATGAGGATGATGCGGGGCTTGGTGGTATCGGCGTGGCGGATGTGAGGCTTCGAATCTAAGCTTCGACTGGGAAACTTGACTTCAAGGTGCCTTGCTTGTGGCAAAACCTCATTGGCTATTGAGATGGCCATGGCAGCGCGTCTTCTTCTTCCGCTCCTCGGCCTCGCGGCCGCAGCTCCGACGGCGGAGCGCATTACGAGCCTCCCGGGCTATGGCAAACCCCCGAGCCCGCAGTACTCCGGCTGGCTCAAGGGCGGGAACGCGACGTCCGGCGGCATGAGCACCCTCCACTACTGGTTCGCGGCCTACGAGGGCGCGGACGACTGGCGCACGAAGCCCGTCGTCCTCTGGCTCAACGGCGGGCCCGGGTCGTCGTCCCTCCTCGGCTTCATGCAGGAGGCGGGCCCGCTGCTCGTCGGCCAGGGCGGCGCGCTCGTCGAGAACCCGTGGTCGTGGACCAAGGTCGCGAACGTCTTCGCGCTCGAGGCCCCCGGCGGCGTGGGCTTCTCCTACTGCGAGGCGCAGAAGACCGGCGGCCACTGCGGCTGGACGGACAAGACCACGGCGAAAGCGAACGCGAACGCCGTCCGCGACTTCTTCGTCAAGTTCCCCGAGCTCGCGGACAACGACTTCTTCATCACCGGCGAATCCTACGCGGGCGTGTATTGCCCGACGCTGGCCCGCGAGCTCGTCGACGGCAACGACGCGGGCGCGACGCCGCGCGTGAATCTCGTGGGCATGGCCGTCGGCGACCCGTGCACGGACAACGCCGCGCAGAAGGATTCCATGGACATGCTCTGGTACGGCCACAAGCACGGCTTCGTGCCCGACGACGATTTTACGCTGCTCTGGAACGAGTGCGGCGGCCGCGTGGCGCGCGACGTGGACCCCGCGGGCGGCCTGCGGGCGGCGCCGACGCTCCGGGAGAGCGAGAACGCGACGTGCCTCGCGGCGCACCGCAAGTTCCTGCTGACGACGTCGCGGTCCTTCTCCCAGACCTGGGCGAAGGGGTTCATCAACGACGTGTCGCTCTACGGCGTGTCGGCGCTCGTGCGCTGGGACGTGCCCGGGTCGCTCAACTACGAGCAGGCCTCGTGGCTCAACTCGGAGGACGTGCGCGCGGCGCTCCACGTGTCCGACGCGCCGTCAAAGGACTGGCCGGGGCCGTCGGACGCCTGGGTCTACGAGTCGTCCTACGCGGCGTGCTCGGGCATCGCCCGCGACGCCGAGCACCCGAGCATGATCGACTTCTACGAGTATTTGGCGCCGAAGCTGCCGGGCGCGATCCGGGGCAGGAAAAGAGTGATTCAAGTTCGCTTCAACATGAGTGTTCCGCGCGCGCGCGCGTTCCGGAAAAAGCATCCATGCTTCGAGACCGTTCCGAGAGATGATCGCTCGTCCAAAGATCAGCCGAAACGAGTGGAAAACGACCGAGATAGGAGCCTTTGAAGTTGGGAATTTCGCACCCTTTTGCTGCCCAGGCACAATTCTCGTCTTCAACGGCGACACGGACCCCTGCGTGTCCTACGAGGGCACGCGGACGGCCATCAAGGCGGTCGGCTTCGCCGAGGTTAGTGCCTACCGGCCCTGGTTCTTCAACGCGACGGCGGCGGCCGCGGCCTTCATCACGGAGGAGAAGGACATCTTGTTCGGTCCGGACCTCGCGACGGAAGCCGCGGGGCCGCAGCTCGGCGGCCACGTCGTCGACTACGACCACGGCCTATCGTTCGCCACGGTCCACGGCAGCGGCCACATGGTGCCCCAGTTCCGCCCGCGCGCGTCGCTCACGTTCATCGCGCACGTCCTCAAGAACGCGCCCCTCGCGCCGCCGCTCCCGGGTGACGCCGAGCTCGCGGCCATGTCCGACGACGACTTCGACGCGTTCCTCGACACGTGGGTCGGCGACGCCCAGACCGCCGCCTACATCTAGGCGCGAGCCGAGTAGACTGCGACGCGTCCGAGGCGTCGCGCAGGCGGTCGGGAGGCCGTCCGGAGCGCCCACCCGCGTTTTGACGCGTCCTCGACCTCGAGCGAGGTCGTCCGGTGCGGGCTCGTCCAAATCATCAGGTCCACCGACCCCTCGGTCGCTGGGCGCTTCCCCTACCCAGCCGCCGCGCCGCTCCCGCCACGGGCGCCCGCGCGTCGACGACCATGTTCGACCCGGCGAAGCTCGCGGCGAACAACACGCTCAAGGACGCGACGGCGCGCGTCGTGAGCTGGATCAAGGAGATGCTCCCGCCGGACATCCGCGGCGCTTTGAACGCGCGCGCGGACCACGTGATGATCAACGCGCGGGAGGTGGCCTGCGGGGACCCGGACTGCAGCCCCATCGACGTCGTGCTGGCGCTCCTCTTCTACAACGGGCGACGAGCGATGACGGGCCTACCCATGGAGATGAACCGCGTGCGCCGCGAGGACATCGCGTCGACGCTCGAGGACATGCACGACGAGCTCATGGCCTGCCACAACGACACGCTCTGGGTGCCGCCGTCCCAGCTCGGCCCGCCGCCGCTGTCCGCGGCGGGAAACGCGGCGCTCGAGAAGATCGCCGCGGTCATCTCCGAACAACTATTGCCGCTGAGCGCGAGCGACGTCACGGGCGTCTGCGCCATGGCCATGGACCTGCTGGAGCAGATCGAGGAGGACACGAACCGGCCGCCGCCGGCGCCCGTGCGGCCCGGCGCGGGCCTGCCGCCGCGGACGATGGACCCGAACACGAAGATTCTGTCCGCGGCGCAGAAGAACGACGTCGAGGCCGTGAGCCGCTTCCTCGACGAGGGCATCCCGGCGTCCTACTCCAACTCCCTGGGCCAGACGCCCCTCCACATCTCGGCCATGTGGGGCAACGTCGAGGTGCTCCGCGTGTTGCTGGATCGCGGCGCCGTCGTCGACGCCGTGAATCAGCTGTCGAACGCGACGCCGCTCCACGTCGCCGCGGCGTCGAACCGCTCCGTCGAGGGGCGGCTCAAGTGCGTCGCCGTGCTCCTCAACGCGGGTGCGGACCCGACGCTCCTCGACGCGGACGGCATGGCGCCCTACCAGATGGTCCTCGGCCAGGACAGCGGGCCCATCAAGGACCTCCTCACGGCCGCCTTCGAGGACAAGCAGATGGGCTAGCGGTTCCTTTTTCGTGGTCCGCGACCCGCCAAGCCGGGGGTTTTTAACGGAGCTGCGGACGTGTGCGTATCAGACCCAGCCGTCGTCCTCGACGACCGGCGGGCTCGGCGGCCGCGGCGCCGCCAGGATCTGCTCCCCGAGGACCCGGGCGAGCTCGAAGTCGCCGCCGTTCAGCGCGACGTCGAAGGCGGCGCGGTCGCTCGACGGGAGCGCGGCGGCGCGCTCGCGGCTCCGCACGTCGCCCGCGAGCGCCGCGAGGCCCGGCGGCGGCGCCGCGTCCGTCGCGTAGCGCTCGGCGACGCGGAGCACGCGCCTCGCGGCGACGCGCGCGCGGGCCCAGTCGCGCGCCGCCGCCGCGTGGTCGACGAGCACGAGGTCGACGGCGTAGTGCGGGTAGCGCCGGTGCGACGGCACGTCGCGCGCGTCCCTCAAGAGCGCGGCGACGTCGCGCGGCGCGTCGTCGGGCGCGGGGTCCGAGAACGGGTCCTCGTCCTCGCCGTCCGAGTCGTCCGGCGCCTCGAGCAGCGCGCGCGTCGCCTTGAGCAGCGGGAGCGGCTTCGCATCGTACTCGTCGCCGGGCGCGCCCGACCGCTGCGCCGCCTCGAGCTCCCGGGCGTGCTTGGCCTCGACGGCGCGCAGCCGCGCCGCGAACTGGGCCTCCATCTGCAGGCGCATGGCTTCGACGTCGTCGGCATTTGCTGGCGGTCGCGGCGCGCACGGCGGCGCGTCGAAGGCCTGCTGCGCGAGGTCCATCGCACGATCACAGAACGAGGCTGGCCATGCCCTGCTTCGCTGTGGCAACCGGCTCGCTCGCTAAGGCGGGGTTTGCTCCGCCAGTGGCGCCGGCGGCGCCCCTGCGTGCGCGGCGGGGTGATCGACGAAACTGCACGTTCCTGGCGTTCCCCAGCCGTCACACCCACGTCGCGCCCAAAACCAAGGGGCGTATCCAGCGCCATCGATGGTGGCGCGCACCGCGGCTACGGACTTGTACGCCGCGGCAGCCCCGCGGAGACGAGGCCCGCGCGGTGGAATTTGGTCGACGCCAGAACCACCTCCGATGGGGGCACCGACGGTCAGGCTTACGTCCAGGGGTCATGGAAGGCCACTCCGACCGCCACGGGCTGCCGTGCGTCGGAAGCTTGGCCTCGGAGGTCTCCGTTCCCGGCCCGCGCGTACGTGTTTGGTACTCAAGCCAGCGAAACGGCTAGCCATTCGTCGCAATTCGAGCGCTTGTTTTTGTCACGTATAGCCACCGGGCGTCCCTGGCCGCTAGCCAAAAACGCGCAGTTTAGACGGGGGGCGCGTCGGCCATCGGACGCCGTCGCCGGAGCAAACCCCGCCTTGCTCGAGCGTGTCTGCCGACTCAGCCGATCTCGTGCCACACGCCGCCGACGATGGCACGAGCAGCCGCGCTCGCCGCGGCGCTGCTGTCCGTCGCCGCGCACGCGCTGCAGCTCCCGGTGCCGCGCCGGCGCCCGTCGACGACGGCCCGGCGCGCCGTCGGCGACGAGACCGTCGGCGAGCCCCTCGACGTCGTCATCCTCCAGCGGAGCCGGAGCGCGCTGACGGCCGTCGGCTACGAGCTCGCGGCGAGCCTCGCGGCGCAGGGCTGCGGCGTGGGCGTGGCCTGCGACCGCGACGACGCCGACGCCGCGTCGCTGCGGGCGCTCGCGGGCGTCGAGGTCGCGACGCCGAAAGACGGCGTCGGCGGCTACGACGACGCGGTCGCGACGCTCTTCGGCCGCCTCGGTTCCGACAAGCCCCGCGCCGTCTGCGACCTCGCGACGCGCGACGGCGACGGCATGGGCAAGCGCCTGGCCTCCGCGAGGGACGCGGCCGCGGTCCGCTACGCGCTCGTGACCGACTGGTCGTCGCAGGACGCGGCCGCGGAGCCCGGCGCCGCCGTCGGAAACGACGTGCCCCTGGGCGACGCGGAGGTCGTGCTGGCGGCGTCGTCCTTCAAGGCGGGCTCCGTCGCCGTGCGCGCGCAGGCCGTTTTAGGCGCGACGGCCTGCGCGGAGTCGTTCCGCTACGGCACGCACCCGCTGTCCTACTTCTTCGACCGCGTCGCGCGCGACGCGGCCATCCCGCTGCCCGGGCCGGGCCCCCGGGGCGGCCTGCCGCCCCAGCTCCTGTCCGTCTGCCGCGCGGAGGACGCCGCGAGCGTCGTCGAGGCGGCCGTCCGCGCGGACCGCGCGGGCCACGCGGCCTACAACCTCGGCCGCGTCAACGCCTGGGACCTCGAGGCGGCGACGTACACGCAGCTCGCGCGCGCGTCGGCCCACGCCGCCGGCGCCGACAAGCTCCGCGTGCCCCTCTACGTGCCGCACGGCGACTGGCGGTCCAAGCTCCGGTTCCCCTTCCGCGACGCGCCCTACCGCCTCGACGCCGACGCGACGCGCGACGCCTTCCCGGACCTCCCGGAGACGCCGTCGGCGAGCCGCGACGCCGCCGTCGCCGCGGGCACGCCCAAGGCCGTCTACGGCGCGAAGCGCCTGAAAGTCGACGGCGAGGCCGTCCGCGCGGGCGTCGACGAGCACGTGCTCTTCGCCGCCGTCCGCGACGCCTACGCGGCCTACGAGGCGGCGACGGCCGAGGGCCCGGCGCCCATCGGCGACGGCGACGCCGCGCTCGTCAAGGACGGCGACGCGCTCCTCGGGAGCCTCATCTTCTCGGGCCTCCCCTTCCACGAGGACCTCGCGCCGCCCTTCGTCGAGAACTAACCCGAGGAGGCGCGACATTTTAGGGCCGCTCCATGGACGCGGCCGCGAGGTCGTCGAGGCCCAGGCCCCGCTCCGACGCGTACTCCGCGACGGCGCGCAGCACGCCCGCGAGCTCGTCGTCGACGGCCGCGTCGGGCCGCCGCGCGGCCTCGGCGAGCCGCCCCGTCGCGCCGACGAGCGCGAGGAGCGCGTCGTGCCGCGCGCGCGTCTCGACGAGCGACTGGTAGGAGCGCAGCGTGTACGCCTTCGCGGCCGTCGGACGCGCCGCGGCGGCCGGCGGCGCGCCGCCGCCGGGCAGCTTCGGTCGCTCCACCTTCGCCGGGATGGCCTCGTCCTTCTCCTTCTGCTTCTGCCGCTCCTTCGCGTCCCAGTGCGGCCAGGACGTCCGCGCGCGCGCGACCTCCTCGGAGATCCGGCCGCGCGACTGGCCGGGCATCACGGGGAAGGACCGGTCGTCGTCGTCGCCGGCGCGAAGGATGACGCGCTTCGGTCGACCGACGCGCTGCGCTGGCAGGAGCGCATGGCAGCAGCACGCGGCTAGCGCAAGGAGCGCACGGACCATCGATTGCGGCAGCACCTTCAAGGAGCAGTTCAACGAGCACGAAACGAGGACTCGCACACACAAAAGTAACACAGGCGGGCGCCTAGATGACGACCTCGCCGTCGCCCTTGACCTCCTCGGTCTCGTCGAAGGTGCCCCGGCGCAGCGGCGCCGCGCGGCGCCGGATGACGGCCTTGAGGTTGTCGTCGACGACCTTCGCGCACGTCGTGCAGCACCGCACGTAGCCCAGGTTCGTGTCCTTGGCGACGGTGCGGTAGGTGCGCTGGGCGACGCGGGCGCCGAGGGCCGGTTGGGCCTCGGGCCGCGGCGGGTCGCCCGGCCGCGTCGTGGGCACCGGCGCGAGCGCGTGCGGATCGCCCGGGCCGCGCGCGCGCCGCTCGGGCATGAGGTTCAGCGGCAGGCGCGCCTTGGAGCAGTCCCCGCAGACGCAGGCGCCGCAGCGCCGGCAGTGGTGCCGCCGCCGGAGGAGCGTGAAGCGCGCGGTGCAGACCATGCACGCCGTCGCCGACCGATCGGGCACCCAGCCGAGCGCCTCGCCGCCGGGCCCGCGCGGCCGGTCGAGCTGCGCGCGCCACGCGGCGTCGAGCGGGTCGCGCGGCGTGTCCGGCGGCGGCGGCGGGATCGTCTCCGGCGCCGGCGCCGGGGCCGTGGCCTCGACAGGCGGCGGATCGAACATTTGTGGCGCCTGCGGCGCCGGACGCCGCGGCGTCGGTATGGATTGTTGAGCGCGCTCGCGCTCCGCGTTCTGCAGCACTTCTCTTTGCGTGTGCGCCCGCGCGATCTCTTCGAGCGTCTGGTAGGACGAGCTGGCCATTGTCACCGCTCTCACGAGTAAAATTAGCCAGCTTGAGTCTGGATCGACAGTGCAGTTCTAGGGAGGACGACGGCACTTACCCGTACTAGTGCCGTAAGTACGGCGGCGGACGGGTGGGCGGGTGAGGTACGGGCGTGGATGACGGCGGCAGCGACGGTGGCGGTGCGCGGTCGGGCGGCGGCGGTCGGGGACGGAGTGGGCTAGGAGTGGGCGTCCAAGGGGGAGGCGGATGGGGGCAGCGGCTGCGCGTCACGCATCTAATCCTCCTCACAGTCGGCGTCCGTGAGCATGGTCCCCTCAAGAGTGCACACGTCGTCGCCGTCCCCCCCGCGCAGAGATAATCCTTTCCCCTTGTACGAGTCGACGGTGATCGTGTCATCGCCCGCACCCCCCTTGATTGTAGCATCGTAATCGAAGTCCATGTACTTGACGTGCATGTTGTCGTCTCCGTCTCCGCCCGATATTTTAATGTCCGCCGCCTTCACCTCGTCGATCGTAATCGTGTCGTCGCCGTCTCCGAGGTCCATTGTTGGGCCGTCGTCGTAGTCGTCTTTGAGGTAGCCGATAGAGACCACGTCATCACCGCCCCCGCCGGCGATAACTTTGCCATCACAGTTCAGGCAGACCCTCACGTCGATTGTGTCGCTTCCATCAGAGTCTGCATCATCTTTTTTTTCATCCCCGTAGAATGACCCTCGTCGGGCAGCCAGCGCACTCAGCGTGTCGTCCCCGGCGCCGCCACGCATGGTTCCGAGGAAATATTTCGCAGTGATGACGTCGTCGCCTACGGAGCACAAAGGTAAACTCGGACACACTGGGCCACCGTCGGGGCCTCTCTCGGCGCGGGCGCGGCGCCATAGCCCCCGTCGAGCAGGAGCTCTTTGTCTGTATCGTATCCGCCGGAGACCAGGTCGATCGTATCGTCTCCGTCGCCGCCGTAGATTTTCCCTTCCTTAGCGTACCCGATGGAGATCGCATCGTCGCCGGCGCCACCGAAGATTTCCTTCGTTTCGCTATGCAGTATCGTGATCTTGTCGTCGCCACCGCCGCCGTCGACCTTGCCACATCTATAATAGCAGTCCGTGCTGACGATGTAGATTGTGTCGTCGCCGGCGCCGCCGACGACGCTCGTCACGTAAGCGTTGACGATCGAGACCTCGTCGTCGCCGTCGCCGGCGTCGATCTCGCTGTTCTCACCCGTCTTTAGAACGTCCACGACGTCGTTTCCGGCGCCGGTGTGGAGGCCCGCATAGTCGCCGATGGACCCGAGGAACGCGCAGTCGTCGTACGGCGTGAGCGTCCACGTCGACGCATCACCACTACAGCAGGCCTGCGCCTCGTCGCACTGGCACCACGCGGGGTTCTCGTCGCAGTCGCCGTCGCAGTCGCAGAATTCTTCTTCTCGTTCATCGTCGCAAATGACGCCGTCGTCGTCGCCGGAAGAACTTGAGCCGGCCCTGATGGAGCCCTCGACGCACACGCACCCGGACGCGTCGCTCAGGTCCTGCGCCACGACGTTGGTGACGGCGATCGGCGTGCACTGCGGGCAGTCCGCTGAGCACGAGCGGTCGAAGGTGTGGGGCGTCTCCGCGCAATTGTCGACGGTCTGGCTGTAGCCGAAGCCGTGGGCGCCGCCGAAGAGGAACGCGAGCGGGAGCAGCATGCCGAGGGCAGCGCGGGGGGTCGACATCGTGTCGCCGCCGCTGCACGCGAGCTTGCTGCTCGCGGGCAAATTTCGCTGCCAAAGTTCGCTGGCAAATTTCGAGGCTCCATCAGCATTGTTGGAAACGGTGTACGGCCGCATCTTGCCCGCAAGATTCTGGAGCTCAACGTTTAACATTAAATTTTCGTCGCCAGCCTGAGCTGAGGGCAAGCGGCGGTGTTGAGGCAAGGTTGGAGGTTGAAGCCCAAGTTGAAGAGGCGTTTAGCATATCCCGGATATGTTAGGATCCGAAGCGACGCAGGTCGCGAGTATACATAACCTTAGAGCGCGCCCCAGCCGCATCCCTACTTCGGGTCGACGTAGTCGGCCTTGACCTTGCGGCCGAGGTGCCACGCGGAGGAGCCGAAGAGGGCGATGTTGACGGAGCAGAGCATGTAGTTGACGGGGTTGACGAGGAGCGAGTAGCGCGAGAAGAAGGCGCCCGTGAGCGTGAGGGCCGTGTACTGCGCGAGGGAGATCTTCTCCACGGGCCGGTCGAGCTCGAACATCGACGCGCCGCTGATCATCCACTTGGACATGGGCGCCCAGAAGTGGACCGTGAAGGGCCCCGCGGCGGCGCCCGCGAAGGTCGACACGGGGCCCAGGTTCGCGCCGACGATCGCCGCCTGGAGCGACGGGCCCGCGACGACGAGGCCCGCGATGCCCGCCGCGCCCGCGCCGGCCTTCACGCCGATGTCGCGGACCTCGGCGTCCTGGCCCAGGGACAGCTTGTGCTCGATGGCGCGCCGCATCTGGTTCGTCTGGGCGACGACGTTCGACGCGTGGCAGGCCGCGAGCATCATGTTCTGCGGCTTGACGACGAACGCCCACCGCGCGAAGAGGCTCGAGTAGACGATCATGACCGGCGTCATCGTCAGCGAGATCTTCTCGGGCCCGGAGAACTGGGCGTCGTAGATGGCCGCGCCCGTCATGCCCCAGCCGGCGAGCGCGCCCATGCCGCCCCAGAACTCGGCGCTGCTCCACCAGCCCTTGGGCTTGGCCGCGGGCTCCGCCGCCGGCGCCGCCTTGTCCGCGAAGCGGCGCACGATGTGCGACGCGAGGCGCGCCGTCGGGTCCAGGCGCAGGATCGATTGCACGGCTCGGAGCGCCATGGTTCGGTGGGAGCTGCGAGGTCGAGCGGCGTGGCGCGAGCTTGGTGGCGGCTTTTGGATTGTCTGAGTTTCCAAGCCACAGTGGACCTTTGCAAGAGAGGGGCATGGTGCTGTGGCAATTCCGTCCGGCCCGAGGTGCCGAGGTGCGAGCGCCACTTGGCGGCCAGCTCGACTTGCAAGCAACCCACCACCATCACACACGACTACAAAAATGCGCCTCGTGCTCGTCGTCGGCGCGCGCGGCTCGGGCAAGTCGCACCTCCTGAGGCAGCTCGCCGAACAGCAAGCCAACCTCGGCAATCCGTCGAACCTCGGCGTCGTCCTGCGCGGCCAGACGGCCCAATCGCAGGACTGGCCCGAGACCATCCCGCTGGCGCACCTCAGCGACGGCGCCTGCGTCTGCTGCGACTCCGACGCGCTGACGCGCGCGGTCCGCGCCGTCGAGGGTCGAGGGTGCGCCGTCGTCGCGCTGGAGACGGACAACTTCTCCGAGCCGGACCACCTGCTGTCGGCGTCGCGGGGCCTCGCGGACGCCGTGTCCTTCGCCTGCGTCGTCGAGCCCGGCGCCTTCCAGGCCGCCTGGACGTCCAACGAGCGCCAACCGTACGGCGAGAAGCGCCACGTCGTCGACGTCCTCGTGGAGCAGATCGAGCAGACGCACCGCGTGTCGCTGAACCGCTTCGGCGCCGAGGATTCCTGGCTCGAAGATCTGTGTCGCGCGCTCCACCCGGCCGTGGACATCGTCGACGGCGCGGACGGCGTCCTGTTGGAGCCGGCGACGCAACCGGAGAAGCCCTTCGAGGGCGTCGGGAGGAAACGGAAGAAGCCGCGGGCCGACCGCGCCGTCGACTGCTGGACCTACGAGCAACAGGCGCGGCCCTTCCACCCGCACCGGCTCGTGGACACCGTCGTCCGGAAGCTGCCGGTGTCGCGGCCGGGCGAGACGCTCGGCCGCGCGCGCGACGGCGCGGAGGCCGCCGACGACGACCCGCTGGGCTCCGTGCTCCGCTGCCGCGGCTTCCTCTGGATCGCGCACGACACGCGCTTCGCGCTGTCCCACTCGGGCTCCCACGTGACGCTCGACGAGGCGCCGCCCGCCGACGAGCCGCCGGCGCCCTGGGGCCCCGGCGGCCCGCGGTCCGAGCTGCGCTTCATCGGCCCGCGGCTCGCGTCCGCGGCCATCGCGGCGCGCCTCGACGCGTGCCTCCTCACGGACGACGAGCACGCGGCCTACCTCGCGAGGGCGGTTGGCTAAAAGTTTTCAAAGTTTGATTGAGGTTTTTTATGGCACAGGGGCGGCGGCGGCGCGGGCGAAGGTGATCAGAAGAAGTCGTCGTATTGGTCCTCGTAGTTGTCGTACTCGCCCGCCTCGGCCTCGCCGAAGAGGTCCGCGTGCTTTTTGTTCTGCTCGAGCTGCTCCTTCTTGCTCTTCTTCTTGCTCTTCTTCGTCTTGTTCGACTCCGTCGGCTTCTCGATGAGGAGGTCCTTGGCCTTCTTGTTGTTCGTGAGGAGGATGATGAGGTCCGCGAGGTCCGCCGACGTGAACTTCGCGTCGTTGACCTTGAGGAACTCCTTGACGAACATGAAGACGTGGTTGTCCTTCGACTTGCACTCTTTGAAGCGCTCGCCCAGCGTCGTCACCAGTTTCAGGTGGTCCTTGAGGTCCTCGAGCTTGATGGACACCATGTTCGGGTCGACCTCCGCGGGCTCCTGCGGGGACGGGACGCGTGCGGCGGGGCGGCGCGCGCGCGACGGCGGCCGCGGCGATTCCCGGGGCCGAGCGCGTCCCGAGCCGGCGCGCGGCCGCTCGGACGCGCGCGGCGGCGCGTCGGCCGCCGCGCGGATGCGGGACGCCGGGGGCGCGCCGCGGCGGCCTTGGCCGACGACTGCTGCGGCGCGGCGACCGTCTCGATCTCATCCTCCTCCTCTTCGTCATCCCACGCCGCGGGCGCGACGGCGGCGCCGGGAAGCTTGACGTCGTCGTCGTCGAAGTCCTCCCAGCTGTCGCCCATGGTCTGCGATTTGTGCCGCAAGGCGCGAGTGTCGGTGTGCGAGGAGGGTCTGGTCGAGAGCTGTACGCAAGCAAAGCGGATGTCCCAGCTCAAAGTGGTCGCTCGATTTGAGCGGCAAGATCCGCCGTATTGAGGTCATACTTGAGGTCTGGCTCGCGCCACCGCCGCTCCCGAAGCTTACGATGACGCTAGAGCTTCGGCACGACGTCGTCGGTCCACCAGCGGGCGAAGCCCGTCACGCGCGCGGGCGGCGTCTCGGACATGGTCAGCGCCAACGGGAGGTACTTGAGGTTGCCGTCGACGCGCATGCGGCCGTCGAGCTTGAAGAGGAGGCGCGTGATGCGCTTCGCGTAGTCGCGGAAGGTCGGGAGCCGCGCGCCGAACTGGGCCATCCACGTCGCGGCCTGGCATAACGACGCGCGGACGCGCATCGGCGCGAGCTCGCCGCGCTCCGCTGCGAGCTGGCGCTCCGTGAGCGCGCGCACGACGCCGAAGGCGCCCAAAAAGCCCGTCGCGTAGTCCGTCTGCGACGTGAGCTGGTAGCCCAGGAGGTCCTCGTCCGCGATCGTGCCGACGCCCGTCGCGAAGTTCGCGTTCTGCTGGAAGCCCTTCGCCGCCGACAGCGGGCCGTCGTGGCCGTAGCAGGACACGCGCAGGAAGACGAGGTGCGGGCACCGCGCGAAGACGGCGGCCTCGTCGAGGCCGAATTTCGCGAGCGCGCCCTCGGTGTAGCCGTCGACGAGGACGTCCGCGGCGTCCAGCAGGCTCCAGAGCCGCGCGAGGTCCGCGGCGTCGGCGAGGTCGAGCTCCAGGGGCTGCTTGCCGTTGTTCGTCTCCTCGTCGAAGAGCGCGCGCCGCGGCCGTTTTTTCGTCACGACCTTGAAGACCGTCGCGCCGAAATCCGCGAGCGTGCGCCCGACCATGGGCGACGCGATGACGTGGCTGAAGTCGACGACGATGACGTCGCTCAGGGGCCGCACGCCGGGCTTCAATCGGCGCACGTGGCCCGCGTGGTCGCCCTCCGCCCTCGAGAACGTCACGGGCTCCAACCCCGCGACGACGCGGCCCTGGGGCGACGCGCGCCACTCCGCGGGCGTGCGGCAGAGCGTCACGGCGAGCTGCTTCGCCTGCATGGCCGCCTCGAGGTCCGCGCCCTTCCACTTTTTCACGGCCGCGCCGATCGACTCGACGGTCGGCGCCGCGTCCAAAAAGTCCAGAATGCCCCGCTTGAGCTTGGGGAAGCCGCCGTGCAGGAAGACGTGGCTGCCGTCGCCGGCCTCGTAGGCCTTGCGCACGGGGTTCACCTTGCCCTCCTGGTCGATGGTGCCCTCGAAGCCCTTGCAGCCCCCGTAGTTCCCGTCGGGCTCGACGTCGAGGAACATGTAGCCCGCCGTGCTCAAGCCCGCGTCGGACTGGCGCACGGTGACCTCCTGGGGGCTGCCGCCGCGGAGCTCGTGCAGGTCCGCCGCGGCGAGGCCCAGGATGCCGAGGCACGCGGCCGCGCCCTCCTCGATGGGCAGGTACGTGGGCAGCACGGGGAAGTCGCCGGCGAAGGTCACGGTCGACGCGAAGGCGGCGCCGTCGTTCTTCCTCGCGCGCAACGCCTCGAGCTGCGCGAAGGCGACGTGGCTGCCGAGGTCCTCGTAGCGCGCCGGCGGCGTGCCGTAGACGAAGAAGTCCTGGGCCGCGTGGGCGGCGTAGACGCGCTTCATGCTGCCGTACTCGCGCAGGAGGCGCCACCACGTGCGCACGCGCAGCGTCGACTTCGTGAGCGCGCCGCCGCGCGCGGCCGCCGCGAGGCCGAGGACGACGTAGCAGGGCCGCATCGTCCGCGATCCGACGTTTTTAGCGCGTGCGGCACGTTCACGGCACTTTGATGCCCGAAAGTCATGGAGTGCCGAAATTGAAAGCGCCGAGACTCATCGCGCCCTCGTGACTCTCCGGTGTCAAAAGTGGTTACAAAAAAGGCGGGGAACGGGTGGGAATCACCGGCAGGCCGGCCTCCTCCGCGTGTCTCGGCGCGAGGCGATGGTCCGCGGGTCGGGGGGGGAAGGTCTCTCGGCGCGAGCTCGTCGCGGCGCCGCCGGCTACGTCGGGCAGGGCTCCTCGCGGGACGGCGCCGGGAGGCGGAAGGGCGCGAAGCCGACGTCGAGCGGGCGGTAGCGCTCCGCGGCCTGGTCCCAGGGCGTCGTCGGCGGCTGGAGCCGCGACAGCCCCGGCGCCGCGGGCGCGGGGATGGGCGTGAGCGCCGCGCGCGCCCACGGCCAGCTCGCCGAGGCGAAGGAGCTCTCCGACGACGAGGCGGCCGTCGACGTCTCCGACGGCGGCGGCGAGCCCTTGACGGGCGTCGCGAAGGCCTCGACCTCGTCGTCGCCGATGACGAGGTCGAGCACGCCGCGGACGAGCCGCGCGGCGTCGTCGTCGGCCCCGAGGCCCGGCGGCGACGGCGGCGGCGGCGGCGGCGGCGCGAAGGGCGGCGGCGCGGCGAAGGGCGCGTAGGCCGGCGGCGGCGGCGGGCCCCGGGCCTCTGCGGCGACGGGCGCGAGGACGATGCGCGCGTCGCCGCCGCCGCGCGTCTCGACCCAGGAGAGCTTGGCGCCGCCGAAGCGCACGATGGCGTGCTTGATGCCCGAGCCCTGGCCGCCCCCTTTCCGGTAGCGCGGGAACGCGCCGTAGAAGGGCACGAGGTCCGCGCACGACACCTCCGTGCAGCCCGACCGGCGGAGCCACGCGTGGAGGTCGTCGACGAGCTGCTGCGCGGCGAGGTCGCGCTGGAGCTCGCCTGCGCGGGGGACCAGGGGTCGGCGAGGAGGAAGGCCATCGAGGAAACGATCGCTCGAAATGAACGTCTCAGACTGAATGTTTTCACTCATTCTCTTTTCGAACCAAGATACATAAGTCATCATCGACGCGTTCGACGAAACCGCTTCGCGGACGCGGGCCCGGGACGGGCGCCGTCGACGGGGCTCTCGGCCTGGAGCAGGAGCTCGGGCGCGGGCGCCGGGCCCGCGTCGCCGACCGCGCGGACGATGGACGCGCCTGCGCGAAGGACAAGGGGTTCGGCGAGGAAGAAAAAATCGAGGAAGCGATCGCTCGAAATGAACGTCTCAGACTGTTTTTTTTCACTCATTCTCTTTTCGGATAGACGAAGTTTAAGTCATCATCGACGCGTTCGACGAAACGGGTTTCTGCGGACGCGGGCCGGAGAAACCGTTGCGCTCGCGGCTCGCGAACCACTCGAGCCCGAGCTCCTTGCCGAAGACGGCGACGGCGTAGCGCACGTGGGACGTCGTCGGCGTCGCGCAGGACTGGTAGTTGCGCAAAACCAGGCGCGACTGGAGGAACGGCGCGATGCCCGACCGCGAGAGCACGAGCTCGTGCGGCGGCGGCAGCGCGTGGCGGAGCCAGGTGCGCAGCTCCGTCGCGAGGCGCCGGAAGAGGCGGAGCTCCTCGCCCTTGTCGATCTCGGCCTCCTCCGGCGCCACGGAAAACGCCGTCGACGCGACCATGACCCACTCGTAGGGCGGCGACCCGCCGCGGAAGACGATGCCCGCGCGCTCCGCGGCGCCGAGGTCCACGAGCACGCCGCGGCAGACCGTGCGCACGTAGGCGTACAGATCGCTGACGAGCACGGCGCGCTTGTTCGCGAGCCAGACGGGCTCCGCGTCCGCGGCCGTCGTCCACGGCCGCACGCGCTGGAGGTGCGCGGCCATCGTCGTGAGGTCCAGCCCCCGCAGCCGCAGCGACATGAGCGCCGCGGGGTCGCTCCGCGCGAAGGCGACCTACAAGGATCCGATCTCCCCGCGTTTCCAGGCGAGCGTCGGGCGAACGGGCGCCCCCGTCGTCGGACGAACGCCCCCGTCGTCGGACGAACGGGCGCCCCCGTCGTCGGACGCCGTCGCAAGACGTCGAACTCCGCCGACGCCGCGCGGGGCCGCAGCGCGGGCCAGGACGACGCGGTCACGCGCGCGTACCTGCGACTCGCGGCGTCGGGGCGACGGCCGACCGCGCGGGCGCCGGGGCCGCGCGCGACGTTGCTCCGGGCCGCGAGGCGCTGCGCCGTCTCGGCGAAGATGTCGGGGGCCGCCGCCGCGTCGCCGGGCGTGGCGTCGTCGGCGACGTGGAAGACGGAGCCCGCGCGCCCGTCGAGCTCGACGGCGAAGAACGCCAAGCGCGTCGCGGCCGCGCTCCGCGAGTCGCCGTCGCCGAGGATCGTGCACGGCGTCGACGGGTCGATGCGCAGGTGCTCCGCGAGCGCCGGGCACGCGTCGTTGACGACGAGGTCCGTCGGGTCGAAGGCGAGGGCGTCGAAGAACACGATCGCCCGGCTCGAGGCATCCGCCGGCGGCTGCTCGCCGCCGGAGTCGCCGGGCGGCGCCGCCGAGGCCTCGAGGGCGAGGGAATTGGGAGCGATTGCATGCATCGTCGAAGGCCGTGGGCCGCGAGGCGCTCGGCGACGCGACGAGTCGCAAAAAGTCAAATTCTCACTTCGAGTCACAGACGCCGCGGCGCGGCGCGCCGCTCGCCAAAAAAAAGAAGAATACGCTGTGAGCCGCTCCTACAAGGTGCCCGAGCAAGGTGATCGGCTCCGGCCATCTCGGGCGGCGTCGCCGGCGAGCCGCTCCCCAACACGAGGTCTCGACCCGCGCGCGTACGAGCCTCGGCCGCGGTCCAACCTCAGAAACCAGCGTAGATATCACTAGTTTAGTCACAAAACAGGACTCAACCGCCCTTCCGCGCCTTGGTCCGCCGCCGCTCGCGGGCGAGCTCGAGGTTGAGGTGGTCCGCGGTCGCGCGCGCGGCGAGGACGTCGCCGACGGCGCCCTGGGCCTCCGCGGTCCGGTACTTGTCCTCGTACTCGCGGGCGCGGGCGCGCCAGGCCGCGGCGTCGGCGTCGGGCGCCGCGCGCGCGAGGGCGTCGCGGGCCGCGAGGAGGTCGCGCGTCCGCGCGAGCGCGGTCCGCGCGCGTTCGACGTCCTCGGCCTGCGTCTTCAGGAGCGCGTCGCGGAGGACGGTGACGGCGTCGGCGCGGCGCTTGTCGCCCTCGCCGTCGCGGGCGAGGTGCGCGATCTCGCGCTGGAGGCTCGAGCACCGCGCGTCGCGCTCCGCGAGCGTCCCGAGGAACTCGGCCTCGCGCGCCTCGAGCTCCGCGCGCGCGCCCCGCTCGCCGGCGAGGGCCGCGTCGCGGTCGCGGTTCAGGTCCGCCCAGGCGCGGTCCGCGCCCTCGGCGCGCCGCCGCCACTCGCCGGCCTCGCGGCGCGCGGCCGCGAGGTCCTCGGCCGCTTGGCGCGCGAAGCCGTCGACGTCCGTCGCGCGCTCGGCCCGATCTTTCGCGGCGTCGGCGTCGGCGAGCTGGGCGCGCAGGGCGTCGACGACGCGACTCCGGTCCACTAAAGCCTTCGTCGGGTCCGCCGCGGCGCGCTCGAGCGCCTCGAGCCGCGACGCCGCGTCGTCGCGGTCCTCGTCCGCGGCCGCCTTGTCCTCCTGGGCCTTGGCCGCCCGCGCCTCCGCGGCGGCGAGGTCCTGCTCCAACGCGGCGACGCGCGCCTCGTAGCCCGACCGCTCGGCCGCGAAGGACGCCCGGAGGTCGTCGGCCGCCTTGGCCCGCCGCTCCTCGTCCCGCGCGCCGTCGCCGGCCTCGCCCTTCGCCCGCGCCTCCTCGAGACCCTGGAGCCGCTCGGCGAGGGGCTCGATGGACAGGCGCAACGTCTCCGCGGCGTCCTCGCGCGCCTTGCCCAGGACGTCGCTCGTCCAGGCCGACTCCTTCTTCTCGCGCTTTAACACTTCCAGCTCCGCGGCGAGCTCTTTCACGGCCGTCTCGCGGCTCGCGGCCTCCTCGTTGCGCGCGGCCTGGGCGTCGGCGAGCTGGGCCTGGATGTGCTTCAAAGTCTTGAGCGCGTCGTCGGCCGGCGGCGGCGCGGGCGCCTCGAAGACCGCGTCGCGCGGCTCGTCGCGGCGCGGCGTCGCGGCGAAGGGCTCGAGCCCGACGACGCGGTCCAGCGTCTTGAGCTGGTCCTGCATGAGGCCGAGCATCTGGCGCAGTTCCTGGCCCTCGCCGGCGACGTCGCGGCGCGCCGCGTGGATCGTCGACCGCAACGCGCGGCGCTCGAGCCGCTCCGCGTCCTGCGCCTCGCGGAACCGCCGCTCGCGCATGGCCCCTAAACGGCCGCGCACGGCGTCCAGCGACGACGCCGCGTAGGCGTCGTCGCCCGCGCGCGCGGCCAGCAGCGGCTCGCGGGGCACGAGGGCCTCGTCGGGGTCGTCGTCGGCCGGCGACGGGCCGGGGCCCCGCGCGGTCCGCGGCGCGTCGTAGGCGTCGAGGCCCGCGAGGGCGCCGAGCTGGCGCTGGACGACGTCCATGGCCGCGCGCGCCGCCGCCGCGTTGCGCTCCTGGGCGTCGCGGATGTCGTCGAGCTCGGCGCGGAGCGCGTCGGAGACGGGCGGCGCGCGCGGCGCGGCCGCGGGCGCGGCCGCGTGGATCGTGTTGTGGATCACGTTGGAGTTGTAGGGCCGCCGCGACCGCCGGGCGGCGGGGCCGCTGCCGAGGGACGACTCGTCGTCGTCGGCCTGGTACCGCTGCCGCGACCGCCGGTTCGCCCGCGCGCCGCGGCTCCGGAGCAGCAGCTCCTCGTCGTGGTGGTCCTCGACCTGGGGCGCCTGGCTCTGGCGCACGTCGCCGAGCTGCTTGGCGATGTCCTCCAGGGCTTCGCGCGCGGCCGCGGCGTCCTCCTCCCGGGATCGCTTGAGATCCGCGAGATCGCGGCGGAGCAGCTTCAGGTGGTCCGACGCCTCGTCGCCGCTCGAGTCGCCGTCGCGCCGCCGGCCCCGGCGCGTCCGCGACGACGCGAGATCCTCGAGCTGCTTCTGGATGGCTTCCAGGGACGCGGCGGTCCCCGACGGCCGCGGCTCGGCCTCCCGCTCCGCGAGCTTGAGCTTGAGCGCGGCCACCTCCGCCGTCTGGGCCTTCATGGCCGAGTCGAGCGCCGCGCGCTCCGCCGCCGCCGCCGAGAGGGCCTCGCGCTCGCGCTCGCGGCGGAGCTCCGCGAGCTCGCGCGCCGTCGTCTCCTGAGCTTGCCGCGCCTTCTCGGCGGACGCCGCGTCGCGGTCGTGGGCGCCCCGGAGATCGTCGAGCTGGCGCTGCGTCGCCTCGAGCTGGCTCTGGACCTGGCGAATCAGGTCCTGCTGCTGCTTGAGCTCCGTCGCGCGCGACGCCTCCGCCGCCGCGGCGCTCGAGAGCTTGCCCTCGAGGTCCGCGGCCCGCGCCTTCGCGGCGCCGTCCGTCGACCGCAGTTCGTCCCTTAAATCCCGCGTCGCGTCCCGGAGGACCTGCTCCAGCGCCTCGCGCTGGCGCGCGAGGGCGCCGTCGAGCTTCTCCGCGGACGCGCGGCTCCGCTCGCCGCCCGAACTCTCGAGGCGAGCCTCGAGGCTCTTCACCTCGTCCTTGAGGCTCCGCGCCTCGGCCTCGGCGGCGCGGCTCCGGTCGCCCCGGAGCTCCTCGACGACGCTCGCGACGCGGTCCGAGAGCTTGGCGACGGCCGCCTTGGTCTCGTCGTCCGTCGGCGCGGGCGCGGGCGCCGTCTTGGGCCGCGCGGCCGCCTCGGCCTGGCGCCGCACGTCGTCGACCTGAGCCTGGAGGCGCCGGAGCTCGTCGTCGCGCCGGTCCTCGCCGCGCCCGCCCTCGATGGCCGCCGTGAGCGTCTTCGCGTGCTGCGCGAGCTGCGCCTCCAACGACGCGGCGACGTCTTTCTGCCCCGGCGCGCCCTGCTCGAGCCGCGCGACTTTTTCGGCGAGCGCCGTCAGGTCGTCGGCGGCGCGGTCCCGGGCCGTCGACTCGCGAAGGTGGCGCATCTCCTCGCCTGTGGTGCGGCGCGTGTTTTTTTTCTTCTCAACGTTCGCCGAGGAGACGCGGGAATCCTCGCGAAGCGACGACGTGTGCGCGGCGATGGCCTCCTCCAACGCCTTCGTCGACGGCTCCGGCGGCGGCTTCGCCGCGGCGGCGCGCAGCTCGTCCATGTGCCTAAAGGAGACGGGTGATCTGAGGTACGGCGGACGCGAAGCGCGTACCTCTTGAGGCCCTCGAGCTCCGCTCGCAGCGCGCGCTCGCCCTCCGTCTCGCCGCGCCGCTCGACGATGGCCTCGCGGAGCGACTGCGTGTGGCCGGCGAGCTGGGCCTCCAGGACCTTGACGACGTCGCGCTCCGCGCTGTCGTGGTTCGTCGCGGCTTGGAGCGCCGAGACCCTCTCCGCGAGGAGCCGGACGTCGGCCGACGCCTTCTCCGACAGCGCGGCGGCCGCCTGCGTCGACTCGCGGAGCAGGCGGCCCACGTCGTCCTTCAGCTGGGCCGTCTGCGCGGCGATGGACGCCTCGAGCCTGCCCGCGGCGGTCCCCTGGTCCGCCGCGGTCCGTCGAAGCTCGCCGACCTGGTCGCGAATTTCGCCGATCGCCGCGGCCGACGCCCGCGCTTGTTTCTCTTGGAGCGCCAGGACTTGCTCCTGGAGGCGTCGCAGATCGTCTCGCGCGTCGCGGCTCCGCGCGTCGCCGGCGGCGTTCGTCTCCTTGATGGCCTACGACGCGCGACGTCGACGAGATCGCGGGGCGAAACGAGTCGCGCGGAGAAGCGCGCCTCGCGAAGCGCCACCGTGTGCTGGTTGAGCTGCGTTTCCAGAGCCTTCAACGCGCCGCCGTCGTCGGACGACGACAGCGCGCCGACGCGGTCCGTGAGGATCTTGATCTCCTCGGACGCGCGGTCGCGCGCCGCGCCGTCCCTGAGGTCGCGCATCTCGAGGCCTGCGAAGAACGGCATGAAGAACACCGTGCCACACGGACGCGGCCGTACGCGCGGAGCGCCGACGTGTGCTTCTCGAACTCGCGCTCCATGGTCGCGTCCTTCGTGGGCGTCATCGCGACCATGGCGGCGCTGATCGCCGCGTCCGCGCGACTCTTCTCGCGAAGTTCCACGACCTGCTGCTGGAGCGACCGCAATTCGTCGGCCCGAGGGTCGCCGCTGCGCGTCGACGTGATGGCGTCGCGAATCGTGGCCGTGTGCTGCTGGAGCTGAAGCTCGAGGGCCTTGACGGCGACGGCGGACCCGTCCTCGGCGTCGGGGCGCCGCTTCAGCTCCGCGACGGTCTCGTGGAGGCGCCGTAGCTCCTCCGCGGCGGCGCTGCGCGCCGCGCCATCCGTGACGTGCCTCATCTCGTCGCGGAGCGACGCGCTGTGGCTCGCGAGCTGCTGCTCGAGGTTTCGCACGGACGCCGACACGTCCGCGTGCTTGCCTGGGCAGGAAAAGAGAGATTCAACGTCGCTTCAACGTGAGTGTTCCGCGCGCGCGCGTTCCGGAAAAAGCATCCACGCTTCGAGGCCGTTCCAAGAGATGATCGCTCGTCCAAAAATCAGCCGAAACGAGTGGAAAACGGCCGAGATATGAGGCTTTGAAGTTGGGAATTTCGCTCTCTTGTCCTGCCCTGGTACTTGCCCTCGGCCGCGTCGCGCGTCTGCCGCTGGACGTCCAGCATGGTCTGCTGCAGATGCCGCAGTTCGTCCTTGACGCCGTCGCTGCGCGTGTTCGAGTTGAGGATGGCGTTCTGCACGCGGTCCGCGTGCTGCGCGAGCTGCGCCTCCAGGTTGCGGGCGACCGTCGACGCCGGCTCCTCGGGGCGCCGCGACTGCAGGGCGGAGACCTTCTCCGACAGCGACGCCAACGCGCCGGCGGCGTGGTCCCGCGCCGTCGACTCGCGGAGCCGCGCCATGTCGTCTTTGAGGCCCGTGGCGATGTCCGCGATGGACCGCTCCAGCGCCTTCAGCCGCGGCGACTCGGACGCGGGCGCGGGCGCCTCGTGCACGGCGCGCCGCTCGCGCCGCGCGTCCTCCAGGCCCCGTGCCACCGTGTCCTGGAGCGCGCGGAAATCGAGCTGGAGGCTCTTCAGGTCGTCCCTCGCGCCGTCGCTCCGCGACGTCTCGCGGATCGCTGCGGTGACGGCGGACGTGTGCTTGGCCAGCTGGGCCTCCAGGTTGCGGGCGACGGCGTCGCGGTCGTCGCGGGGCGCGTTCGCCGCGACCTGGAACTCGAGGAACTTCTCGCGGAGGTTCTTGACCTCGTCCGCGGCCGCGTCGCGCGACGTCGACTCCCGCAGGTGGCGCATCTCCTCGCCTGCGAGTTTCATTTCAAAAACTTTCCCAAATTGCGCGACGCTGCGAAACGCGCGGAGCGCGGCCGTGTGCGTCTCGATCTGCTTGGCGAGCGCGCTCGTGTCCGGCGGCGCGGCCGCGGCCCTTTTGAGGTCGTCGACGGCGGCGGCTAAAGTCTGGAACGCGTCGCCGTCGCGGCCGCGCGACGCCGCGGCCGCGTCCTTGACCGCCGCGGCGAGCCGGTCCGCCTGGCGCTCGACGGCGTCGACGACGGCGCGGTCGTCGGGCTTCCTCGCGGCGAGCTCGGCGACCTTTTCCTTGAGGGATTGGACTTCGGCCGCGGCGGCGTCTCGGGTCGTCGACCGCGCGAGGTCGCGAAAGTCCGCGCGGATCTGGGAGATCTGCGTCTCGATGGCCCGCTCCAGGCGCGCGACGTCGGCGCCGCGGTCCGACGCGGTTCGCTGCAGCTGTTCGACCTATGGGAGTGTGGTGCTCGCCCCGATCTTCAGCGGCCCCGGAAGCCAGAGTGAGTGCGGTTCTCGCCCCTCCCCAGATCTCTCACAAAACACGAGACGCCGGCTCCCGCGGCGCTCTTCAGCGCCAACAATTCCTCGGACGGCGCCGCGCGGTCCTTGAGCGCGGACTGGATCGTCGCCGTGTGGCTCGCGAGCTGGCGCTCCAAAGTTTGCACGACGCCGTCCTCCGCCGGCCGGCTCTCGAGCTTCTCGCGGAGGACGCGGATCTCGTCCGACGCCTTCTCCCGCGCCGCCGCGTCTTTTAAGCGGCCCATCTCCGCCATGAGCGACGCCCCGTGCTTCGCGATCGCCGCCTCCACGAAGCGCTCGTCGACGGCCGGCGCCGGCTTCTCGGACCGCGACGCCTCGACGACGTCGTCCATGCGCGCCTGGAGCCGGGCGAGGGCCTCCTTCGTGCCGTCGTCCGTGGCGTCGGCGAGGGCCCGGTCGACGTGGGCCCTGTGGAGCGCGAGCTGCGCCTCGACGGCCTTGACGACGGACTCGTCGGACCGCGGGTTCCGCGAGAGCGCGTCGACGTCGCTCCGGAGCGCCGCCAGATCGTCGGCGGCGCGGTCGCGCGCGGACGACTCCCGGAGCTTGCTCATGTCCTCGCGAAGCGAGGCCGTGTGCTGGACGATGAGCTTCTCGAACGCGTCCTTCGTCGCGTCGCGCAAAGAGGACACCTGCCGTTCCAGACCCTTGAGCTCCTCGCGGCTCGACACGTCGTTGAGGGCCGTCGCCTGGAGCGCATCTCTCAGGCGGTCGTCGTGGCTTCTCAGTTGCGCTTCCACGGCGAGGACGGTCTTCTCCGACGCCGCCTGCTGCGCCGCGGCCAGCGCCGCGACCTTGGCCGCCAGCGCGCGGAGCTCGTCGCTCGCGGTGTCGCGCGCGGACGACTCCTTGAGGTGGCGCATGGCCTCGGCGAGCGCGACGGCGTGCTCCTGGACCTGGGCCTCGAGCGCCGACGGCGCCGCGGGGGCGGGCGCCGCGCGGCCGGCCTCGCGGACGTCGGCCGCGAGCGCGTCGAGGCGCGCGTCCAACTTCTGCAGCGCCTCCTTCGTGTGCTCGTCGCGCCAGCCCGTCAGGCCCTCGAGCGTGTCCTTCACGGCCGTCGCGTGCTCCTTGAGCTGCTCGCCGAGGAGCCGGACGGCGTCGCTCGCGCCGTCCGTCCTCGGCGCGGCCGAGAGCTCGCCGACCTTGGCCGCGAGCGCCGCGACCTCGCCCGAGGCGCGCTCCCGCGCCGTGGACTCCCGGAGTTTTGTCATTTCCGCCGTCAACCGCGCGCCGTGGTCGGCGATGGACTGCTCGAGCGCCTTCGATCGAGCCTCCGCGGCCCGTTCGAGCGCCGCGACGCGCGCGTCCGAGGACCGCTCGAGCGCCGCCGACCGCGCCTCGGACTCGCGCTTGCCCTGCTCGAGGGCCGACGAGAACGACGCCTCGAGCTTCGACGAGTCGTAGGGCGTCGGCGAGCTCTGGACGCGCCGCTCGACGTCGTCGAGGCGCTTCTCGAGCAGCCGCGGCGACTCGCGGTCCCGGGACTGCGTCCGTTGGAGATCCTCGAGGCGCCGCTCCAGGTCCTTCAGGGTCTGCGTCGTCTGCTGGTCGCGCGCGGACCAGCGCGTCTCCTCGTGGCGCCGCGCGTCGTCGGCGAGCAGCTTGACGCGCTCCTGCAAAGCGTCGACCTTCGCGGTCCCGCTCGCCTCGGCGGCCTCGACGCGCTTCACGAGGTCGCGGATCTCCGGGGCGTCCTCGGAGAAGCGCACGGGCGTCTGCGGCGTGCCCAGGGCGCCGCCCTTGCGCAGCTCGCGCCGGACTTCCTCGACGAAGTCGTCGAGGCGCTTGCTGAGCGTCTCGAAGCCGGACCTGCGGCGTGTCGTTGTTTCGCTCGCGCGCCGTGAAGAAGACGCCGGAACGCACGCCGCCGCGGAGGACACGACGCCGCCGTCGACGGCCTCGCGGAGGTCCGACGTCTTCGCTCGGAGCCCGCGGAGCTCCTCGCGGACGAGGTCGCGCGTGGACTCGCGCGTCGCGTCCCTCTCCCGCTCGATGGTCTCTCGCAAGGTCGACGTCTGCGTGTTGATCTGGGACTCCAACGCGCGCAGGGGCGCCTCGACGGACGCGCTGCGCACGGTCTCCTTGAGCGCGCCGACGGCGTCGTGGATCGCCTTGAGCTCGAGGGCCATCGACGCGCGCGCGTCGCCGCTGGTCGACTTGTGGGCCCGCAGCTCCTCGGACAGCTTCGCCGTCGTCGCTTCGAGCAAGCGCGCGCTCTCGGCGCGGCCGTCGTCGACGGACTTGCGGACGTCGCGCAGCTGCGCGTCCACGCTCCTGGCCAGCGCGTCCGCCGCGTCGCGCTGCTTGCCCACGGCGTCGGCGACGTCGCGCTTGACGGCGTCCAAGGCGGCGTCGACGGCGCCGAGGCGCCGCTCGAGCGCGCCGTCGTCGGGGGCGCGGGCGGGCCGCTGGGCGACGGCGTTCTCGAGCGCGCGCTCGAGCCTCTCGAAGCGGAGCGCGAGCTTCTCGTCGACGTCGGGCCGCGCCGCGACGGGCGCCGCGTCGCGCCGCCGGAGCTCGCCGAGCACGGTCTCCGAGAGCTGCTTGACGGCGTCGGACGTCGCGTCGCGGGAGAGCGACGTCGGCAGGTTCTGGACCGTCTCCGCGAGCGACCGGAGCCGGTCCTCGACGCCGTCGGCGGACCGCGCGTGCTGCGCGTGGGCCTTCAACGCGGCCACGTCCTCGGAGAGCTTCGTGACCTCGGACCTGGAGGGCGGCGGAGTGAGCAACATTGGGTTCTCTCCCGCCAGGCGGTCCATTCTAAAAGACCCCCCACTCGTTTGTGGCAAACTTTTCGGCGATCGAAGAGGAGTTGGTCTTTTTCGAGCGGGCCGTGCGGTGGGAGAGACGCCATTTTGCTTGCACCCGTTCCTCTCGTCCCCGCGCCTCGTCTGCGCCCTCGACGGCGCGAGGGGCGCCGAACAACGAGCGAAGCGAAGCCGGAAGGCCGGAGAAAACCAGATGGCGCCAAGCTCGAATCGCGGACGCCGCTGCGCGCCGCAGCGCCACGTTCTCCTTGGGCGCGTCGCGGACGAGGTCGACCTCGCGTTTGAGCGTCTCGACGTGGCCGGACACGCGGTCCTCGAGGTCTTTGTGGGCCGTCCGCTCGCGCTTCCGGCCGAGCTCGGCGATCTGGTCGGTCACGACCTATGTTTCGACGACTCGATGGGGGAGAAAAACAGAAGAGACCACGCACCTTGAGCTGGCCGTCGAGGGCCGAGAGGACGCGCGCCTCGCCGTCGCGCTGGGCCTGCTCCGCGGCGTCGACGCGCGCGGCGATGGCCTCGAACTCGCCCCGCGCGGCCGTGCGGCCGTCGGCGTCGCGGATCGCGCGGATCGCGCCCTGGACGCCGTCGACGTCCGCGCCTGTGTCGTATTCGTGCTCGACGGTTCCCCCGGCGAACCGTCGACGGCGATCTCTCGGACGAGACGACCGGCGCGACGCGGCGGACGCCGGCCGCGCGCGGAGCTGGGCCAGGGGGTCGCCGTCGCGCTTCGAGGACTTGAGCTCGGCCATGTCGTCGGAGATCTTCTCCAGCTGGCGCTCGAGGCTCGCCGCGGCGACGGACTCGCCGTGCGACCGCGGCGACCGCGACCCGGCCTCGGCGGCCGTGTCGCGAAGGCTCCGGAGGTCGTCGCGCCTGCGTCGGAGCGGTGGTTGAAGACGAGCCACTGCGGCCCCGCGACGGCGGCGGCGTCGTCGTCGTCCCGCGGCAGCGTCGCGCTTCCTCGTCATCACGCGCGTGTCCCTCGGCGACGAACGCGCCTCCCCGTCGACGACGGTTCCCCGAACGACGCGCGTCCCCGCCGACGAGCGGAGTCGGACGCCGCCGCGCGCATGGCCCGCGCGTGCTCGACGAACTGGCGCTCGAGGAGGCGGTAGGGCTCGTCCGTGCTGGGCGGCGCGCGCTTCAGATCCTCGAGCTGGCGGTGCATGGACTCGAGGTCCTTGCGGCCCGCGTCGCGCTCGCCCTGGTTCTGGCTCCGGGCGACGTCGTCCTTGAGCTGCAGGATCTGCTGCTGGAGCTGGGCCACGGCGGAGCCCTCCCGCTCGAGCATGCGCGCCTTGAGCTCCTGTGGTCATGGTCGTTGTGTAGGGGGGAGCGCGTCATGGTTGTTGTGTTGATATCGGGGCTTCTCTCGAACGAGCGGAGACGGGGTCCATCGCCCACTCCCCTTCCCCGCCCGCGTTCGTCCTCCCAAAGCCCCCAAACGCGAAAAACGACGCCGGACGCGCGCCTGCGTCTCGCTCTTGATGGCGCTCAGCAGCTCCGCCTTGAGCCGGTCGTCGGCCGCGGCCGACGGCGTCTCGCGCTGCTGCCGCTCGACGGCCTCGAAGCGGAGTCGCAGCTGCTCGAGCTCGCCGGTGCCCGCGGGCGCGTCGCGGCCCCGGTCGCGGCGGATCTCTTCCGTAAGCGCGTTGAGGGCGGTCGACTGCGCGAGGAGCGCCCGCTGGAGCTCCGAGGCCTGGTCGTCGCGGCGGGGCGTCGCGGCCTCGAGGCCCTTGGCCACGGACGATGACACGGCCTCCTTGAGCTTGTCCGCGGAGAGGCGGTCCTCGCCGGAGAGGCGGTCGACGTCGCGCCGGAGCCGCTCGAAGTCCGGGTCCTCGTGGCGCGCGTCGCCGAAGAGCGCGCGGCCGCCGCCGCGGGGCGACAGCGACTCGACGGTCTGCGACAGCGCGCGGACGTCGCCGCGGAGCAGGCCGAACTCGTTGTCCCGCGACGCGCCGGCCTTGGCCTCGCGCGCGTCCTCCTGGGCGTGGCGCGCGTCCTCCTGCGCGTGGCGGAGCTCGTCGGCCATGGCGACGATCCTCGCCTCCATCGCGCGGAGCGCCGCGCCCTCCTCCGGCCGCGGCGTGAGCTCCTCGACGCGGCGCGCGACCTGGAGCTCCTGGACCTGCGCGGCGGCGCGTCCGCACTCTCTCTTCGCGCGGTCGACGGCGCGCCCGTCCAAAGAGGTCCGCTCCCCCACGCTCTCTCTCTTCGCGCGATCGACGGCGCGCGAGAGACGCTGGCCGGCGCCTGCCGCTTCAAGCTCTCCAGCTCGCTCGTCGCCTCGTCGCGCGCGGACGCCTGGCGGCTCGACTGCTCCAGGTCGGATTTGAGCGCGCCGAAGTAGGCGCCCAGGCGGCTCTCGAGGGCGACGACGGCCGTCGACACCGCGTCGTCGTCCCGCCCGCGGCCGCTGTTGAGCAGCCGGTCCTCGAGCCGGTCCTCGCGCTCCTCGAGGTGCCGCTCGCGCTCGGCCGTCGCCGCGACGTCGAGCTTGAGGCGGTCCAGGTCCATGGCGATCTTGTCGTAGGTCATGCGCCGCTGCTTCCGCGGCTCCTGGGCCGGCGGCTGGGCCTCGGGCACGCGGCGCTGCTCCTCGCGGAGCTGCTCGATCTCCTTGAAGATGGCCGAGATCGGCGCCTCCGCCTCGGGCCCGTGGAACCGCGGCGACTCCTTCAGGTCGGCGAGGCCGCGGTGGAGATTCGCGAGCTCGCGCTTGACGTCGTCGCTGTCGTGGCCGCTCTTGATCTCGCGCTTGAGATCGTCGGCGTACGCGCGAAACTGCGCCTGCATGGCGTCGAGGAGCTTCCGCTCGTCGACGGGCTTCGGGCTCGCGGACCGCGCGGCGCTCTTGCGGCGGGACCGGAGCTCGTCGACGTCTTTCTGCAGGTTCGCGTACGTGGCCTTGCGCTTGCGGTCGTCGGGGGACGCCAGGGCGCCGCGCAGGCTCGCGACTTCGGCCCGAAGCGCGGCGACGTCCGGGTTGCCGGCGAGCGACGACAGGGCCTCCGTGACGGACTTGAGCTCTCGTTTCATCTCGTTGGCGTTGTCCGCGTCGTAGTCCTCGTCGCGCCGGGGCGCTTCTTCCTTGATCTCCTTGATGAACGCTTTGACCTCGGCGGCGACGCGCGCGGCGTCGTCGCGGGGCGCGTCGCGAGATGTGGACCTACGGATGGGCAGTTTCCAGAGGTTCAGGGGAGAAGGGGGCCGCCGTGTGATAGGGATTTTGACAGAGAAGGAGAGAGAGAGAATAGAATAGAGAGAGAGAGAGAGAGAGCACGTCGCACAAGGCGAGGGGTCCGCGGACCTGCCCGTCCGCCTCCGTCTGCGGCCTCCGTAACCGGCGCGAGAGCAGCCCCTGTGGCACGGCCGTGGCCACCCGCGCCTTGTAAGAGCCCAGACGCCAGTGGCGCGTCGTGCCCACGGAGCGGCGCCTCCCAGAGGGCAACCGGGAGCGACGGGCACGGTGCCGGGCCGCGGTAGGGCATCAGCGGACCGGTCCGGTGCGCCCTGCTCTGGGAGAGCGGAGCTGCCGCCCCGACGCCGGGTCCCTCGACATCGCCCGCCCACTCGACGTCGCCCTCCCCGTCGAGCCGCCTCCAGCACTCCAGCTCGCGTCCCGGGGACGGGGTCACGGCAGCGCCGGGCGGGTAGCAGCGGATCCGTGTCAGCGTCGTCACGCGACGCTAGAGGCGCGCCGCTTACTAGGCATATGGAATGAGTGGAGCGCACGGTCGAGGGCATCTTGCTGCCTGACCACGCGCTCACAAAGTGGTTCTCGAGGATGCGCGAGGATCGGGGCGTCGCGCGCGCGCGCAAGCTCGTGGCCCGGGTTCGTCGCAAGTTGTGGCCCAGGTCGCCCAGCGGCACGCCGGACCGCGCTGCTAAACATCGGAAGGCATGGCATCACAGAAGCGTCGCAGCGGCATCGTCGTCGGCGCGCCGCGACAATCAGCATTTGCCGCGCGCCTCGCCGTCGCGCTGGGCCTGCTCCGCGGCGTCGACGCGCGCCTCGCCGTCGCGCTGGGCCTGCTCCGCGGCGTCGACGCGCGCGGCGATGGCCTCGAGCTCAATTGAGCGCGACGGCCGTGTTGTACGACGCGTCGGGCGCCGCGCTGCTGCTGCGGTATATGGGCCGGACGCGCATGTCGGCGTCGCGCAGGGCCATCTCGAAGACGTCGTGGGCGTCGAGGTGGAGGAGGAAGGTGAGCGGGTCGAGGGGGACCGCGCGGTTGCTCATGTGCATGAATATCGCGTTGTAGATGATTGCCCTTCTCGACATCTTGTGCGACGCGTTGAACTCCGCGCGCCGCGCGGCCGTCGTCGCCTGGTCGACGGCCCAGATCGCGCGGACTATGGAGACACCCTGCTGCGACGGCTCGCCCTCGGGCATGACGAGCGCGAGGCGCTCCCCCACCGGACACACCGCGTCGAGGATGTACTCGCGCGTGTCCGTCTCGAGGTGGAGCCGCTGCGTCTTGTCGAGGCGCAGGTCGCGCAGCGCGCGGACCGCGGCGTTGAGCGCGAGGACCAAAGCCTCGACGCCGCCAGCCCGGAGCAGCAAATCGTGCTCGACCCAGGCGAGCCGCGCCGTGCCCGGCGGCCGGTCGCCGCCGAACACGTGCTTCGTCTCGAGGACGAGAAGGGGGGAGAGGTCGTCGCGCCCGGACCGCGCGATGGCGCGGCGCCAGTCGCACTTGCCGCCGGGGCGCCGGGACGGCCGCGCCAGGAAGCGGCGGAGGACGCGCGCGCCCGCCTCGGCGACGTGCGCCGGCGGCACGTGGACGACGAGCGGCGCGCGGTCCCCCTCGGGCGTGACGAAGCCCTCGGCGCGCTGGCCGATGATCGACGGCGTGTCGTGAGGGGTGCGGGTGCACTCCTTCCGCCCGCCGGTGAAGACGAGCACGAAGGCCAGGAGGTAGACGCGGGCCTCGCGGCACCGCGGGCTGTCCGGCGACGCGGCCTGGAGCAGGAGCTCGGGCGTGAGGCCGAGGTAGCCGTCCTGGGCGCCGCCGCGGTCGATGACCACGTCGAGCACGCGCGCCTTGAGCTTGAGGAGCAGGCCTTTCGAGAACCTCAGATTCCGCGCGTGGAGGTCCTCGCGGCGCGCGACCGCGGCTACGAGGCCGTCGAGCTGCGGGTGCTCGTCGATGGTCGCCTGGGCCGCCGCCACCGCCCCGTACCGATGTCGGACGCGGCGCGCGCACTCGATGTCCTCGTCGGAGGGCGGCGCGACGCGCGGCGCGAGGCCCGCGGGCCGCCAGTGCGGGTCCGCGTTCAGGAGCCTGTAGAGGACCTCGAGCGCGCTCGACTGGAACAGCCTCGCGATGCCGGAGAGCGAGAACCCCGAGCCGACGAGGCTCAGGGCCGTCTCGTCCATGTGGCCCGGCTCCCCCGGCGCGTTCGCGATCGACGCGTCGCTCTTCGCGGGGGAATCGACGTCGGCCGCGGAGCCGCTCGCGTGGCTCGTCGACGGGTCGTCCGCGGTCGCGCGGCCTTCGTCGTCGTCCGCCGGCGCGCGCCGCGGCCCTCGGCCGGGTCGCAGGACGCGGCTCGGGGTGGGCCCGGCGTGGCCCGCGGCCGACTCGTCGGTGTCCGAAGCGGTATCGGATCCGACGTCGCCGAGCGGGTCCTCGGAGCCGCCAAAGGACGAGCTGTCCGAGCCGGGCGACCGGAGCCGGGGGTCCAGCTCCTTCAACCCGCCGGCGGGGCGCTCGTTCTTCGTGGGCGACAGGAGCCTCTGGTCGAACGCGGCGCGGCGCCCGTCGCCTGGGCAGGACAAGAGTGCGAAATTCCCAACTTCAAAGGCTCCTAGCTCGGCCATTTTCCACTCGTTTCGGCTGATTTTTGGACGAGCGATCATCTCTCGGAACGGTCTCGAAGCGTGGATGCTTTTTCCAGAACGCGCGCGCGCGGAACACTCACGTTGAAGCGACGTTGAATCACCCTTGTCCTGCCCTGCCCGTCGCTCGGCGGCATCCGCTTCGCGTCGCGCGCGTCCGGCACGAGGGTCTCGCTCCGCACGCTCTTGCCCGGGGTCGTCGCCGGCGCGTCGTTCTTCATGCCCTCGGAGTCCTTGACCATCGCGGCGGCGAGGGTCTTGTAGGACGCGATCCGGTCCGAGGGATCGGGCAGCGCGTCGATCTCGAGGACCCGCCGCGCGAGCCGGTCCTGGGTCATCGTCGGCGCCTCGCCGACCGCGCCTTCGTGCACGTCCGGCGCCGTCAGGCGGATGCACAGGAGGGCCTCGGCCCGGACCGCATCCGCGCGCCGCCGGAGCGCGGCCCCGTCGCCTTCGCCGTCGCCGCGACCGCCGCGGCGGCCGTCGGGCGCGTAGCGGCGCGGCGCGCCTCCAGGAAGCGCTGGGTCGGTGGGTCTGCCGACCGGAGGTGGCCCCGCGGGTCCGTCGTTCCGTCCGAGGAATCCGCGCGGAGCCGGAGCCCGGCCGCCGCCCCGACGGCTCGAGTACGCCCGTCGGATGAGGCGGGGCTCGGGGGCGAACGTCAGGGGCCGCCCCGCGTCGAAGCGCCGCCCGGAGATCGCCCCCGCGAAGAGTGATTCCGCCCCCCGGGGGCGCGTGCGTCCGACCCCCCCGAAACGAAACAATTCGCCCTCTGATTCAGGTGGGCGATGATCCGACAGGGCGATGTGAGTCGCCTCAATCCGACGCATGCTCGCCGCCACGCACGGCACGGTTTGCGTGCGTCGTCGGGGGGCTTCTCCAGCGCTCGTCAGGCGCGGGGGGGGCTCAGAATCGACGCGAGCGGGCGTGTTTTTGTGGCAAATTTTGCACCCATCGAGATGGAGAGGCCCGGACAAAAAATCTCCAAGGCCGCGCGCCCGGACAAAAAAATCGATCGAGGGCAAGCGACGGCGTTCGTCGCTGATTGCCGGTGCCAGCTAAGGTGCTCCGCCCACACACGTGGTGCACAATTCCACAGTCCCAAAGCACAGGCATTCTCCACGTCATCGCCACCATGTCAGACCGAGCCATCATCCGCCTGCACAAGCGCATCGTCTTCCGCGTCAACGCGTTCGCCATCCTCGAGCAACAATACCAAGAAGCGCAGAGCCGCGACGAGGCGCAGATTTCCTTCACGGCGGAGTGCCCCTTGTATGGTGGCTACAAGAATTCTGAAGTGCTCGCGGTGGTGCGCGTGCTGCTTCAAGGAGAGTGGTGTATGCAATACACGCTCTCGTACGGCGTCGAGTACGCCGGCCGTAAGATGTCGGTGAGTAGTCCCTCCCCCCCCCCCTTCCCGCGCGCGATGGTTCGTTTCGTCGATCGGCCGTCGAGAGAATTTCGCACGGGGTCGTACGCGCGCGATCAGACCTCAAATCGACCCCCCGCCCGCCGCCCGCCTCCGTCCGTCCACCAGAACCCCGCGTTCGACCGCCGGTCCGATTCGACTCGGCCCTCCTCCCGCGCGCCGCGTCGTCGCCTTCGCTCGAGATCCCGTAACCGAATCTTCTTCCGCTCGCAGCACCCGTGGTACAGCGTGCATGCCTTCTGCCAATCGAACGGCTTCCCGTGCTTTCCCACGGCGCGGCGCGGCGTCTTTTTTCGGCCGCGGCCGTCTGGGTCGCCGCGGCGGCCGCCGCGGGCCATCGGGCGACGCCGCGCCACGCGCTCGCGGGCCTCGCGGCGCGCCGCGGCGCGCGCGCCGCGCTCCGGGGGCATTTGTCGTCGGGAGATCATGTTCCCGTAGGTGTACTCCAACACGGGGTACCACTTCGGCGACGCGGCGGAGATCACGTTCTGGAGCGACGTCACGCAGCAGACGCTGCGCTTCGAGTCCGAGAGCGCGCGCATGGTCGAGCTCCTCGTCCGCGTCGGCCGCGACCTCAGCGCCACGGACGAGTTGCTCCGCGAGGCCTACAAGCGCCTCCCGGACACGGGCGTCAACGTCTACAAGCGGAGCAACGCGAACTTCGCGCACGCGAGCGTCGAGCCGTTCCTCGTGCAGTACCCGCTCATCGAGCCGCCGTCGGCCGACGACTCCGAGGGCGCCTCCATGCGCACGCTCTTCGGGGAGCCCGAGTCCGACTCGTCCGACGACGTCCCCATCGCGCTCGCGCTGACGCTCCACCGCCAGCCGCGCCTCCCGCGCGGCGTCGCGCCGCGCGACGAGGAGCAGGAGGAGGACGACGAGGACGACGGCCACGTGGCCGCGCGCACGCGCTCCAAGACGCCCGAGAAGAAGCAGCTCGCGTCCATGGCCGACAAGAAGCGCGCGGTCTCGACGAGCGACGACGCGGGCTCCGCCGCGGAGTGCCCGTTGACCATCGGCATGGACTGCGTGAACTGCGAGCAGTCGGGCACGTCGCTGCGCTGCATCACGTGCCTCATGGCGGTCTGCAGCCTCTGCTGCGCGGCGGGCGAGTGCATCAACTGCCGCGACGGCGACAAGGCCGCGGCCTACCTGAGCTGGCCCTACAACATCAACCTCCTCGTCGCCAAGGGCATCATCATGAACCAGGTGCGCATGGACGCCAACGTCGGCGCGGCGCTCCAGCACCTCTGCGAGACGGCGACGGGCTTCCGGCTCTGCGACCTCTCCGCGGACGCCTTGACGATCGAGATCGCGGCGGGCGCGATCATGGATCTCGAGCGCTTCATCCGCGGCGACGGCGTCCTCACGTCCTTCTGGATCAGCAAGTTCCGCAACTACCGCCCGACCGTCGGCAGCATCAACCTCGGCGCGACCAACGAGGCGATCCTCATCTTCTCGGACGAGAACTGCATCGCCTTCTGCCTCGCGCTCTGCCGCCTCGTCCAGCGCGGCCAGCAGTTCATCACGACGCAGATCAACGAGTGCCTCGCCAAGGCCTGGCTCCTGAAGGACAACGCCGGCGCGGGCGACAGCTCCCGCGTCGAGGACCACCTCAAGTTCTGCCTCGCGCAGCAGCAGTCCATGATCGACGCGCTCAACGCCAAGGCCGCGACGGACGCCGCGGCCAAGGCCGCCGCCGGCGGCAGCGGCGTCGCCGGCCGCGGCGGCGACAGCCTCGTCGCGCGCCGCCGTCGCCGGGCCGGGCGGCGCGGCGCGGCGCGCGACGAGGCTGTCGCCGCCGCGGCCGGCGACGCCGCTGCCGCCGGCGGCGGCCTTGGCCGCGGCGTCCGTCGCGGCCTTGGCGTTGAGCGCGTCGATCATGGACTGCTGCTGCGCGAGGCAGAACTTGAGGTGGTCCTCGACGCGGGAGCTGTCGCCCGCGCCGGCGTTGTCCTTCAGGAGCCAGGCCTTGGCGAGGCACTCGTTGATCTGCGTCGTGATGAACTGCTGGCCGCGCTGGACGAGGCGGCAGAGCGCGAGGCAGAAGGCGATGCAGTTCTCGTCCGAGAAGATGAGGATCGCCTCGTTGGTCGCGCCGAGGTTGA